CAACTACATCATACGTGACAAGGTTTTTACTTAGAACATGTAATATTTTTTATTTTTTTCTGTATTGTTAACCTAACAGTTTTTCTTTCATTAAAAAGTTTTGCACGTGTTTTCAGGTATTGTTCTTGAAATGGTAGGTCAGACAGCGATTCTGGCCTATACTTGTTGATAAAATCTTTAATCTGCTCCTTACCTGAAAAAAAAACATCAAAAAAAACTCATGACACTATAATGATAACAGTAGTCATTATATAGTAAAAATATGTCTTACATGTCAATGAATTTTTGTGTAAGCATGTATGTTTTATGCTGAATAATATTGTATTGCATTTCCTCTCTATGGTAAATATTCTACATCACTTATTAAACAAAGACCACAAGAGTTATTCTAAGAACAATAAATCATTAATAAGGACCATAATATATTATAAAAAAAAAAAAAATGGCCACAATACGGTTGGCTTGAAGTATTTACTCTCTAACAATTTTTGCCATTTTCTTTGCATTCGAGCCAACAAGAGTCAACTGTATATTGGTTGATGTTGTTTAATATTAAAGACTTTTACCATGTAGTTTTGACTTGGGTACCACATTTGTTATTAAATTAAGCAGCTTCTAGCCAATAAACAGATGTACATATACAAATTATAAAACATATTTTGTCTATCTAAAAAGATAAATAATATAGAGAAAAAAGAACTGTCGGAGGACAGTAAAGCTCGACTATTCGAAAGTTGTCAAAAGAGTGTTTCATCAAGTATAAAAATGCTTACCTATATGAATACATAAAATTGTCCGAAAAGGTACAAAGGCTTGTTATTAAGATGTTTTATCGAGTAAATCTCTGCTTTATTATTATGAATGCATAAAATTGTCCCAAAAAAGGCACAAACCATTCAGTAGTTATGGAGGTACCAGCATCAAGTCCCAATCACGTTAGATAATCACAGAGAACAAGTAACTGAAGTTTCAATCCATTCCGAGAAACCAGCTTACACGCAAAAACTTAACCAAGGATTTCTAAGTCAGACCTGGGTAGCAATCCCCAGCTGCTTCTTGATATAAGCTACATACACATAAAGTTTGGTGTCAATAGGTCAAAGCAAACTGAAGTTATTGAGCCGAAACTAAATTTCTATTTTTAGTAACAGTGACCTTGACCTTGATCACGGACACCTGGGTAGCAATCCCAAGCTGCCTCTTGATATAAGCTACCTACACATAAAGTTTGGTGTCAATAGGCCAAAGCAAACTCAAGTTATTGAGCAGAAACTGAATTTCTATTTTTAGTATCAGTGACCTTGACCTTGATCACAGACACATGGATAGCAATCCCAAGCTGCCTCTTGATATAAGCTATACATACACCAAGTTTGGTGTCAATAGGCCAAAGCAAACTTAAGTTATTGAGTGGAAACTGAATTTCTATTTTTAGTAACAGTGACCTTGACCTTTATCACAGACACCTGGGTAGCAATCTCAAGCTGCCTCTTGATACAAGCTACCTACACACCAAGTTTGGTGTCAATAGGCAAAAGCAAACTAAAGTTATTGAGCGGAAACCAAAAGTTGACGCCCGCCCGCCCACCGACTTCGGCATTACAATAACCCGGTTTTTGTTGAAAACCTGGTTAATAATTACAGAGAACAAGTGTGTGAAGATTCAATTCATTCCCTTCAGTAGTTATAAAGATACCAGCTTACAAGCAAAAACTTAACCAAGAATTTCTAAGTCGAAAAAGGTGCATTATTATGCAAAAAAAAAAACAGAGTTATGGGACTTATGCCAATCATGGAATTAGATAATCACAGAGAACAAGTGTGTGAAGTGTCAATCTATTCCTTTCAGTAGTTATACAGATACCAGCTTGCATGCAAAACTTAACCACAGGGACGCCGACAAATGGGTGACTGCATTAGCTCGATTATTCTACGAATAGTCAAGCTAAAAAGAAAGACAAGAAGTTGACCCTACTGAGACTTGAACCCACATCCTCAGTTTAAAAGCAAATGATAGAAGTCTAGCCTATTTAAATTTTATCCTGAATTTGCTCAAGGTCCTTCAAAAAGATGTGGCAATACTCACTTGGTAACTGCCCCTTATTGTTTACGTCCCTACTGAAAATGCATGACCCAAAAAAGTCCTTGAGTAAAGCAGTATCTTTCTTAGTCCACTTGACTGAAATATTGACAAACGTATTAGCACATACACAAGATGACTCAATTTCTAAGGTTACGCATTGTTTTAAGGTCAAAAATAAATTTTCATCAATATCTTTTATGACAATTATGATAATAATGTAATTACAAATCAAGACAGTAATTAACACCAGACATTGTATATTGATGCAACCACAGACAGTATATTTACAGTGAACTTAAAAAAATCTTCTAAAAAAATAAATTTATTAACAAGAGGGCCATGATGGCCCTGAAGTCGCTCATCTGTATTTGGCCCCCAGAATGGGGCCAGTTTAAACCCCAGGGCTTTTATTTCAACAAACTTGGTAAACACCCATTACAAGATGTTTCATGCTAATCATCTAAGGTCTAGCTCATTGAGTTTTTTAAAAATTATTTTTTAATTTTTAACTATACACATATAGTTCAAAGCAATGACACCCCTAGGGCAAGGCCAGTTTTGCCCCCAGGGCTTTTTTTAAATAAACTTTGAAGACACTCACTAAAAGATGTTTCATGCTTAATATCTAAACTCTAGCTATTTTGGTTTTTTTCAAAGAAGACTTTTAAGTTTTTGCTATACACATATAAGGAAAATCAATGTCCCCCAGGGCAGGGCCAATTTTGACCCCAGGGCTTTTATTTGAATAAACTTTGAAGACACTAACTAGAAGATGTTTCATGCTTTATATCTTAACTCAAGCTATTTGGGTTTTTTCAAAGAAGATTTTTTATTTTTTGCCATACACATAAATAAAATCAATGACCCCCGGGGCATTTATAAGTTTTTACTATATGCATATAGGGAAAATCAATGACCCCCTGGGGCGGGGCCAATTTTGACCCCAGGGCTTTTATTTGAACAAACTTGATAGACACTCATTAGAAGATGTTTCATGCTAAATATCTTAGCTCTACCTCTTTGGGTTCTTTAAAAGATGATTTTGTAAGATTTTACTATATGCATATAGGGAAAATCAATGACCCCCTGGGGCCGGGCCTATTTTGACCCAAGGCCTTTTATTTGATAACACTTGGTAGACACCCATTAGAAGATGTTTCATGCTAAATATCTTAGCTCTACCTCTTTGGATTTTTTAAAAGAAGATATTTTAAGTTTTTTCTATCGGTTGCCATGGCAACCAGAGTTCTGCATGGAATTTAATTCTGTGAACAATTTTTAAAGGTGACCACCAAAGGAACATTCCTGTGAAGTTTGGATGAAATTGGCTCAGCGGTTTACGAGGAGATGTCATTTAATGTAAAAGTTTACGGACGCCGGACGGACAACGGACGGACGCCGGACGAAAAGCGATCACAAAAGCTCATCTGTCACTTTGTGACAGGTGAGCTAAAAATTCAACCAAATTTGGCAGGATTGTTCCTTGGATGAAAGGCTTCCAAGGTTTTTCAAAGAATTTGATAACATGCAAGAATCTAGTTGCCATGACAACCAAAAGAAATTATCAGAAAAATAATTAAAAAAATAATCTACTTATTGCTTACCTTGATGCCCCGATTTTTTTGGCTCCGCATCTATCACTGGCTCAGCATCTTTCACTTGAAAATGTCCATCATCTTTCATCGAATTTTCACGCCCATCTTCTACAATGCATATTTGTTAATAATGATTTTGTATTGTAAATATTGAAAAGTATCAATGAAAACTTAAATACCAAAAATCAAAAGTAATATGCTGCAAACTACAAACTTTAATATAATCAGAGCCTCTAAATGTATTGGTAAAGTTTGCTGTACTTCCAGACAACTGCAAAATATCAACTTTTAAAAGAACTTCATTACCTAATTTGCCTATTTCTGTGCTTTACATACTTTGATAATGATATTTGGTTAAAATTTTAAGTGGTGAAATACCTTGAAATTTAACAAAAAAATGTCACACAAGTATAAATCCAACATAATATTATGAAAATTGTCCACAAAATTAAGCTGATGCTCATTATACAACTATAGATATATTAAATTTAGAAGTGTTTATTTAACAGTAATCAATATGAATAATAATTATTTTTCAAATATCATATACAACTCAAACTTTGATAAGGGCCACTGTTTTCTTCACTGACAACCTTACCAATAAGATGAGCAGGGACATAAATTTCATTCCAAATAAAGTTTATAGTATTTGTTATAGCCATGCAAGGGAATTACTGATTCGTACATCATGAGGGAATTACTGATTTGTACATGATGACTTTTTGAACCTTGAAAATCAAGATTTTGATGGCATGTTTACAGAGTGTACATGTCTGAATTTCTGTGCTCTTGTTTTCAATTTGTGTGAGCATTCAATATAATTGAATGGGGGGGGGTGGGGGGAATATTGTCTCAGGTTGTTTTGGTGATGAAGTGAGGCCAAGCTTATTTTACTTTACCATTAAGTGGCTATAAAGTGGCGAAAAATCAAGGAAGTATCAGGGCTCATCCTGGGGGGAAATTTTAGGGAGAAGTGACTTCCTCGCGAAAATTAGGGAGAAGGGAAACAACCCAATGTGTATGCATTAACATATAGTTAATTAATTAATAGTAGATTAATTAATAGTAGTATTAATTAAAAGTTGATTAATTAGTAGTAGATCTGGCATTGGCATCTAAATGTTTTTGAGTTGCAAATATGAATATAAAAAATTATTTTTGATATCTATTGATCAGCTATTTATTAACTTTCTCTAAATATGTGTTTATATATTTTCATGTACATTTGTTGATAATAATGTGTAAGAAAAGATGTGATGATAAAATCAATTTCATATTTTTTCTTTCCTCACTTTTATTAGAAGATGAAGTCACCTTGGATATTGATTAATAAAATCTGTTCTATTCTGTTCTGGTAACAGAAATTTCTTTGACAGTCCTGAATGTTGTAATGTCAGATTTATATGCATATAATTATGCTTATAAAACAATTTTCAAACATCAAAGAATATGTAAAATATGTATTGCAAACATTTGTGCACATTATATTTGATCACTAAAATTACATGCATTCATTTCTTATTGAAAAATTTGACTGAGAAATTGTAGAAAATTAATTTCTAATTACCTCCCTTTATTTTCATGAAATGTTAAATTCGGTAATATCTTTATAAATAATGCTTTTTAAAATTTACAATATTGATAAATCTTAATCTGAGCGTCATATTTACGACATTAAAACAAATATGTATATTGAAACAATAAGAACTCTTCTTCTTGACAAATTTTGTTGTTATATACGTTACATGATATACGACTATGTAGTTTAGCCGGGATGTCTTGCCCACGTGCGTAAACTGTGTCAAATTTGGCATTTCTACAAAGAGAACAATGCCAAACACCACCCTGGCTACAACATACCAATCGCAAGATTTTTGCGAAATGGTTTTCTTAAATTTTCGCGTAGGTGTATCAGAATCAGTAACTTTCTTTTACTGCTAGGTTTGGGCATTTCGCCCGGTAGCCATGACGTGAGCGACATAACAATTTTACAGTAAAAATTTTATGTTAACAGACTGAAATCATTCAAAACTATGATTAAGTTTTTAATCCGGTCGCTGATCATTAATGAAATTGATTATTTTTAATTGACTAACAGTTTTGTGATAGCCATGAAAAATCCATTGCACATCGCCTTTACTCGAGTTAAAAACCCACCATCGAAGTGCATCGTGTATATCAATTGGGGAAGAATGCACGTGTTTAGATAATCGGGGAAAAAACAATGTATAATTATCGCCAAATCCCGTATTAAACTCGCAAAACTATCACACAATTATACCGTTTCGGGCCGATGCTCTCATTATTTACTGTTTAGAGTAGGCGGTCTATCGCTTCGCTTACAGCTAGAAGGGTAGTATAAAGCGACGCTCTGATTGGATAATGATAATTAGCGGTCGTCATATGGGCGGATACAATCTCTGCTCTTTACATCGCTAAGTAATTACTATTTGGGAATTAAGATTTTATCGGCGATGTTGACTTCTCTTTGATCAATCGGAAGAGCGAAATTGGAATATACACGGCGAAGTTTTTGCCTGAATCGCCCTTCCGGATGAGCCCTGAGTATGCACAACTAGGCAAGGTGACAAACAATCCTACGAAGTTTTAATGAAATCTCCCAGCAGTTTTGGAGATAAAGTGCGGACAACCTTATTTTTACCCAAAAATTGAACATAAAGGGGCCATTACTGTGCTAAAAAAGATTCAAGCAGAAATCAATAAAGTATGAACAACTAGGCTTGGTGACAAACAATCCTGTGAAGGTTCAATGAACACCCCCCATCCCCCCGGCAGTTTAAAAGATGACGCAAGGACATGATTATGGAGTGGATGGATGGACAGAAGGCGGGACAGTGCGATTACTATATGCCACCCTTCAGGGGGTTAAATAGATCAATAAGCTCATTTTCAGCATGACAAGGCGCTGTCAGGCTGTAATTAATGCCCATGAACACCTTACAGGACACTGAAACTTATTTCAGGCAGAATTTAGAAAAATAATCACTTTTACAAATTTTCTGTAATTTACCAATTTTCAACTTTATAATTTTAAATTCAGTTCAATAACTTTAAAACTCAGATGACTAATTTATCGCTTTTATCAAATAAACCATACAAACGAATTTTCATGTATCATTAACTATTCAATATACTAAACAATAATTAATACAGACCACATAAGTGACCCTTAAAATTTTTTGAATAGTTTATATTGTGGATCAGGCTATTTAAAGCATGTTGGGTTCCCTGGTAACATAATATTTATATATCAATAGGAGCATGCACAAAGTCATTATCCTGTCCACTGATTATCTAACTACTTAAGAGCTGTTAAAGGAATACTAAGTTACTTCTGATATTTAACAAATTTCTTGCCTGTTTGTTCATCCTCACAGGACAGATCTGCTTTTTCAGTATTTCTAGGATCTTTTGAAACAGTGTACTTTTGGCTTCTCGACAACTCTACTGGTTCTACCAACTTCTTGTTATAATGGGTACAGATGTCACCTGTGAAATGAATCAGTTTGTAAAACAAACATAAATTCGATTTCTAAGCATCTTTATAAGTAAAAACAAAAAATAGTTTTATGGTTCATAATGTTCCGGGTTCTATATTGAATCATATATACACTGCAGCTGCGTTTTAATGCTCTCTGATATAACGCTAATCTCAGTATAACACTCATAACCTTGGCTCCCCACAAAAATCGTATTTTTTGCCGATTATGTTTTTTTTTTCATGTTTATACCTTATTAGCTATTATAGCATAAAATCGGCTATTTTTCCCTTTTTTGCCCATGCTATAACGGGGCCAAAACCATGCGTTAACATAGTCACGTGCTCTTGTTATAGCCCGGTCTTACCTATGCGCAATACATAGAGGGCCCAGTATGAGGATTGAAACAGACAAAAAATAAGTGTTGACAGATGTGAAAACATGAAAAAAGCAGCTATGAAAATGGAAGACTTGGAACTTGCTCGGAACACTGGGTGGTTTAATTGTTCTACGAGCTGTAGCTGTCATTGCTTTTTAATTTTTCATAAAGCATACGGCAGTTATTACTCGTAGGATACTTTAATATGCCCAAATGTCATCAAGAGCAGTTTGCATGTGGAAGGAATGTATTTTTCAGAATGTAAAAATGAAACAAAAAATTTAGAGACGAAATTTGGTGATTGGAATTTGAATGAATAGAAGTAAGTTTTCTTCTTTTTATTACTTTTGACGTTTAATGTATTTATCAATTTCAGCATTGCTTTTTCTTTAAACAGCCTGACATTGTCAGAATTGTCAACAAAAATAAAATTGAGGTACCACATGGGGAAAATCTTAAAAAAGTCGTTTCGTCATTGAAAAAAGTGAAATTATATTTTGATAATTTTCACTGTGAAATTACCAAATATAATTTTCACGGATAAATCAGTAATCCACTGAAAAGCATAAAATAAATACAAATATTTGGAAAATGGACGATATCCATTGATACGAAAGTAAACAATCATTACCGCTCATAAGCATTATAAGTTTTGGCGTGGTTGGGGTAATGCGATATTTCGCAGTAATAATACAATGAGTGTTATTAACATTAACTTGTTACAGCGTGGTCTTGAGATCATGGACCCCAACATGAGCGCTATGACGGGGCTCCAGTGTATATATATATATATACATATATGAAGTTTTCTTCACAGTTTGTCATTCTACTATCATATATATATTTGTTTTCTTCGCTTTACAAAAGGTAAAATAACATTATACGGTAATAAATAATCCATGATAACATTTTCTCAATTCATACTTAACAAATCAACTATAAGATATATATGAATGAGAATATATTCATTATGAAGCCAAAAAAAATATAAAAAAATTGTTTTATTGTATTCTAGTCTTTTTACTTTAAGTAAAACTTTTTTCATGGTAACATTTATTGACCACAATTCCTAAGCTTTTGGTGTTTTCTGTCTAAAAATATTAAATTTGAAATTTTTTGAAACTCCAGAAGGCTTTAGATGGTAGAAAAAATGACAAAAACTTTAAAAACATTACCTTTGTCAATACTTTTAAGCATTTTCCCCATAACTTTAACTGTTCGGATTCCTTGTGGGCATTGATAATTATCTTTGTTGATGTCTTTTTCATGGCCCATATGTTCCAAAAATATCTTTTGGTCGGCAACTGACATGTCAAGGCTAGCATAAACAGTGGACAGTCTGTGTCTCATTTTAGTTGCAGTAACAAAAACAGCAACATCTGCTTTTTTGCAAACTTCTCTAAGGGCATGCCAGCCTGAACAGTGAGATGTAGTTCCACTTCTTTCTTTCGTAGCAAAAACATGTTTGTTGCTGTTTGATATTCCAAAACTGTATCTTTCTTTCACCAAAATATCAATTGCTTTAACAATGTCATTTGGAACAAGAACAGGGGCAAATTTCTTGCCCTTTCCTTGGAGGTAACAGAGTTTAAATTGCCCTACTAAATATTTCACAGCCTCGTCATCAATTTGTTCAACCTGCTCCTCTGGAAGCCATGTCGACTTCATAGCATCATCCCATTCAGACAAAAGCATCCTGGATGCTTCTTCTCCTCTTCTTGCATTGAAAAGAGTTAATCTTGAGACAACAAGTGTTCTGAGATAAGCATAATCTTTAATATGGAAGTTTTGCGTTATCTCCACTATTTCTTTTTCTATAAAGTTCTTTAATTTTCTCAACTCCATTTCATCTGGCAGGTTGGCTGGTTTCCTTGCCTTTTCGAATGAGTTGTTGATACACATCTGTCTAGCTTTGGGGTAAAGAATTTTTGACTTATATTCATATGCATCTTTGAAATGCTTTAACTCTTTTTTTTTGTCATCTTGTTCTTTAGAAGCATAATAACCTTTCAGTGCCTTGACTGATCTTAATATCACTGCATCTAAATGAAGTTTCAGACCATGTTTCTCAGAGTTGTTTTCTCTTTTTGTCAAAGTGTTAACTGCTTCACACAAATCTTCTAAATGAGTTCTTGACAGCATATCTTCCACAGTTTTTCCTGTACAATGCATTTCAAATTCTGAATACAGCCTTGCCAAAGAGCGCATTTCAGACATAACCACCTTCCTAACTTCATCTTCCTTACCATTCTCGTGTCTTCTTAAATTGAAGTGTCTGTAACCAATCATTATAATTATGTCATTTGTTCTGCACAAATTTCCAACAAAGTCATCATGAAACCTATTCAGTATTGCCTGGAACTCTGTATCTTTCTTTATTTCTGCATCATTTGTTGATAACATCAAACTAGGTTTCATTGGAGTAGGCTTAAGGGCAAGACATTTATGTTTAAAAAAATACTTATTTGAATAATAACCCTTACAATCCTCACAGAGTCTGAGACTATCTTTTTTCACAGGGATTCTTTCTCTCATTGATGGTTCTAGGCTTTTTTCCATTTGTTTAACATTATACTCATGAATTCCATCCCGCCTTATTTGATCAAAGTACTCCTTCTTCACAGATGGTGAGTTAGCTAATATTTGCCCTATGTCTGTCTTGTGTTTCCTTTCAATATGGCGTTTCAGTTTTCCACCTTTAACAATCTGATGACAAAACTTGCAGAATCTATCAGGCTTCTGAAAAAATGAAGAAGTATATTAAAGAAACAGACCTTGGTGCAATAAGTGAAATCCCAAGAGATGTATCTTAAAATATTCTTTAAGCTGGGCAGCATGCTCTTGAAAACTATAGAACATAAGGACAGCAATTCATAAACAAGAGGGCCATGATGGCCCTGAAGTCGCTCACCTGTATATAGGCCCCCGGAGTGGGGCCAGTTTAAACCCCAGGGCTTTTATTTGAACAAACTTGGTAGACACCCATTAGGAGATGTTTCATGCTAAACATCTAAGGTCTTTTTTTCAAGTTTTTTTTTTTTACACATATAGTTAAACACAATGACACACCTGGGGCAGGGCCAGTTTTAACCAAGGGCTTTTATTTGAACAATCATTGTAGACACTTACTAGCAAATGTTTCATGCTTAATATCGAAACTCTAGCTATTCGGATTTTTTAAAGAAGATTTTTAAGTTTTTGCTATACACATATAAGGAAAATCAATGTCCCCCGGGGCCGGGCCAATTTTTACCAAAGGGCTTTTATTTGAACAAACTTTGTAGACACTCACTAGAAAATGCTTCGTGCTTAATATCTAAACTCTAGCTATTTGAGTTTTTTCAAAGAGGAGATTTTTTAAGTTTTGTTATACACATATAAGGAAAATGAATGACCCCAGGGGTGGGCCAATTTTGACCCCAGGGCTTTTATTTGAACAAACTTGGTAGACACTCACTAGAAGATGTTTCATGCTTAGTATCTAAACCTTAGCTATTTGGTTTTCTTAAAAAAAGATTTTTTAAGTTTTTGCTTTACGTAAATAAGGTAAATCATTGACCCCCGGGGCAGGGCCAATTTTGACCCCAGGGCTTTTATTTGAACATACTTGGTAGACATTCATTAGAACATGTTTCATGCTAAATATCTTAGCTCTAGCTCTTTCGGTTCTTTAAAAGAAGATTTTTTTAAGTTTTACTATATGCATATAGGGATAATCAATGACCCCCTGGGGCAGGGCCAATTTTGACCCCAGGGCTTTTATTTGAACAAATTTGGTTGACACTCACTAGAAGATGTTTCATGCCAAATATCTAAGCTCTAGCTCTTATGGTTAAAAGAAGATATTTAAAGTTTTTTCTTTCGGTTGCCATGGCAACCAGAGTTCTGCATGGAATTAAATTCTTTGAACAAATTTTATAGGTGACTGCCAAAGGAACATTCCTGTAAAGTTTAGATGAAATTAGCTTAGTGGTTTATAAGGAGATGTCATTTAAAGTAAAAGATTCAAAACGGCCGGACACCGGACGAAAAGCGATCACAAAAGCTCATCCTCTTGTGATAACTGTCAAGGAGTTCGCTCGAAAACATTTGTATATACTACAAAAACACTCGTCAAAAATGGATATTTTCATTTTTCAAAAATGAGTTTTAGAAGCTAAATAAAACTTAAGTGATTAAGCTTGTCTTACATCTTGTATTAAAAACCAATTCATAGGCCATTTGTCATTGCCTCTTGCTTAAAATCTGGTAGTTTTGAGAAAAAATTCCAAATTATTTGCCAGTTCAGAAGAAATGACCTGTTTATTTCTGGTCTTCATCCTTGCCATACATAATTACCGAATTATAATGCAAAATTGCAAACATAAAGCACCGGCTAACAGATTTATACCAGATTTTTCAAATGTCCTGGAGTTCTTGATATAGCTCTGAAGGTCACAGAATACTTATGATAACTTTTGTTATTGCCAGAGTGTTTCTTGCGTTAAATCACGGCACGTTTTCAGTGTGTCTTCCAGCTTCAATTTTTTGGGGGTCATTTTTGACCCCCTGTATCAGATTTTAAGGGTCACTTAAATTTTTTTAGGGTTATGCCAAACCATTAATTTTCTTTCATTAGCCAATAAGTACATAAAAGAACTGGAACCACTAATTTATTAGCCTCTTTCCTATTATTCATTCAGCCATGGAAAATAATAGATGAATAGAACAGAAAATGTTGCATAAAAATAATTTGAAAATTCTTTAATTTAATTACCCCCAGTTAGCTACTGTAATTAATGCAGCTTAATATGTACTGACAACTTAAATTTAAATCAGCAAGGCAGTTGTTTACACAGTTGCATCATCCTTACCATATTTGGTCGTATAGCTACGTCACTAGCAGTACTGTATACAGGTAAAATGTGTAACAATGGAAAGTGGGTTGTGTAGTACATACGGAATTATGTTTTGAAAATTGATTAATTGATAGAAAAGTGGACAATAATTGGATATTTATATTGTCCTCTTGGATACATAAAAGGGAATTTTTGTCTGATTAACGGACAATTAAATTGAAAGGTATTAAGTTGTAAAATCAAAGCAGTGCATGATTTGTATTTAAATTTGTTAAATAGTTTGCAATGGATTTGAAATTGTCATAATTTGAGATTTACTGTAAATTAATAGAGAATAAATTACTGCGTCACTGGAAACACACAAATTGAGTCTCATTGCGTCAAGGCCGTAAAAAATGCGTAAAAAACGCGATCTGGAAGAAACACTGTGTTTTGGCATTTATTATTTTTCATTAAGATTGTAAATCATTATGAAATGCAGTACGATCATCAAAACATTTATAAATGTAAAGTATGGTTTAAGGAGACCAGATTATTCATGTCAACCTTAATAAATGTAAAGTATGGTTTAAGGAGACCAGAATATTCATGTCAACCTTTATAAATGTAAAGTATGGTTTAAGGAGACCAGAATATTCATGTCAACCTTAATAAATGTAAAGTATGGTTTAAGGAGACCAGAATATTCATATCAACCTTTATAAATGTAAAGTATGGTTTAAGGAGACCAGAATATTCATATCAACCTTTATAAATGTAAAGTATGGTTTAAGGAGACCAGAATATTCATATCAACCTTTATAAATGTAAAGTACAAGGGTTGTCCCAAAAGTCCATGACAAATTTTATAGACGGTTCATTTTTAACGCCAATAGAAAATAATTCACGCATATAACTGTTAAGTTTATTCTTTCACATTACAACAAATCATTTACAAAAATTTCACTCTAGTTAATAAGAATTTTTCAGTATCAATGACATTGGTTTGAGTTCCTGGCGCACGTCAAATAATTTGCATTTTGCTATGAATAGGCTTAAATTAATTACCTATATTTTAAATATATGATGATGTGTCTGCACAATGTCACGTTGACTTTCTCTACTGCTATGTTTACATCATCTCAGAAAATTTGAGTTAGATAACTTAAGAAACGCAAAAAGATACAAATAAATGAAAATATCTCATGTAAAATAGGAAAATTAAAATGGCAAAGTTAGAAGAATTTGCGGCGCAGTGACAAGTCACTCAGGTTTCATGTCTATTTCGAGATGACACATGTTACGATTTTCAACAAATATACCATATAGAACAGTTTAGCAACATATCCTGAGCATTTGTTTACTAAAGGCATGAATGGAACCAGAGTTTTGCGCTACAAAAAACGAAAATAAGGAAAGCACAGATAGGAAGACTGATCTTCCATGCCTATTTCCTGCAGTTAAAAGCAAAAAAAACGAGACCAGAAGTTCGTGTATAGCAAAGAATTAATGAATGGTATCCAAACATTCAACAGACATTAACAACCACATGATTTAAGTCTGTAATTGATGATTTATGGGTAACATTATGCATTGAAAGCCATTGTGAGTATTTGAGAAAGGTGCCTTATATAGATTTCACGCTGTCTTTGACATGCGCCGCGATTCAGTTATTTGCCATGGTGTTTATGGCATATTTTTGTTGTTTGTTGATATTTTTCTATGTAAATTTGTGAAAATGTTTCAATTATATGGGTTTATAACATATTAAATATCAAATTTGTACTTATTTTATTCTGCTTTTAAACAATCTTGTCACAGAATATTGGGACAACTCGCGTATGGTTAATGTAAAGTATTGAAGCCTGTGCATGTACGTGTAATATACCTGGAGTATATTAAAATCAACATGAACATTACGTTATTTGTCTGATACAACTTTATAAAAGTTGTAGATTATATTGATATGACTTGTTAAAAATTTACTAAAAATCAAAACATTGTATTAAATATTTAAAATATGGATTAAAGGGGCTATATTTAACTACAGTTCAACCCTGCTTATTCAACAGCTATTATTTGAACACTTCCGACTGAAGTATTCATGTGGTCTCTAATCATCCACTATATAAGTAAATACAAAAACCTTTTTTTCAAAATCAAGCAAATTTGATATGAACCAATTTCACACCATACAATTCTTGACTAAGCATGTGCTGATTGTCTCTAAATTGTTATAAATATTTCAAACTATCAAATGTGTTTCTACTCTTTCATGGTAACTGCATTCCGTCTAGTTAACTTTAATTAATCATAATTATCTGTGCACGAGTGATTCCTTCTTTAAGAGTTCATCATTATGATTTCAATTAAAGATATAAAGTAGCAAACATATTTTTACTTACAACAGGACAATTTTTATGTAAAGCAATTATATCTTAAATATGTGCTTATACCATGTAAACAGGTAAAAATACAACAACAAAAAACATGTGTGTATTCATTTAGTACAGTGGAGCCTTGCTAATCCGAACCCTTCTAATCTGGAATCCTTTCTTATCCGAACGAAGTGTATGGTCCCGATTTTTTTGTTCTATTTTCAATAGTAAAAAAACGTTTTCGATCCGGAACCGGTCTACTCTGAATTTCGGACGAGTCTTTCAATTTTTGTTCTTATTTTACTGTTAAATTAACCTCTGGGAGCCGAACAGATTTTGCCAAATGTCACACCTACATTTAAAATAACAAAAAAATCGCACATCTTGCGGGTGTAAACATACACCAAACTAATTAGAGTAATTTCTCTTGATTAATGGGTGAAACGTATTATCTGCAAAGGTGTGAAAATTACACTTAGCTTGCCTTGATATCTACTTTTATTGCTTAATTGATTGTTTTTCGTCACCTTCAATAAATATTTAGAAATGATGCAACAGAAATATCTTTTGTAACAAATTAAATGATATGTGATAAGGTAATGGAGATTAATGGAAACTGTCAGTGAATTCGGATAATCACTGAATCGGATAAGACCTTCTTATCCGGAAACCTTTTCTTCTGGTCCGGACTAGTTCGGATTAGACAGGTTCCACTGTATCAATAAAACTTACACATTTTTAATGTTACTAGTATAATTTGTTAGACTGTTCCTGTTACTGCAGAAATATAATGACTGACACTTAGGTCAAAGTTGAGTAATAGTCAACAAATACTACATACAGACTTGGATTATCAATTATTCGAAGTAAACTTGTAGTCCCTGGCATTTCAAATAATCAAGGTTGAACTGTATATCAAAACGATACTTTCAGAATCTTCTTTTGCACATTACTCACCTTTTTCCAAACCTTTTTCTTTGAATGAGTCTGCTTGTCTGATACTTTCCTACAAATACAATTAAATACAATTAATGGCTTAATACAGTTACTAAAACTCTAAGAAATTTAATGAGGTGATATAGGCATTATGACATTTTTATCTAACGCTTATGTTAAATCAAATAAACAGCATGCCCATTCACGCACTACAGTGCGTAATTCACGCACAAAATTCTAGATGCACGCATAAAAATTGTAAGCAGGGGGTACATGCACGCAAAGTAAAATCGTCAGAATGAACGTTTGGGATAGCCTATGTACGCATAATTTTGCCTGGAGTCGCATCAAACGACCACAAATACGTCAGCGCGTGTCAGTCTATAGGTAGGCGGTCCTATGCACATCGACCCGTGAAGCGATTAGCCAATCAGCGATAACACTTTCAATCATTATCACGCAATAGAGATCAGACTAATGTATACACACGCTGTACATGTAATTACCAGATATAACACGAGGTGATAATTTAACATCTTTGATCAACAGTTGATTGGAAATAAGCAAATTTTACCGACAAAAGGATAAGAATATCGACTATTTACACCGCAAGTTTAAAGACTGTTTTCTCAAATTACAAATGAGTGTAATTTTGAATTATTCTCGAAATTTTCGGAACTTTCTAAGCAAAATTTTGCATTCGTTTCATTCTTGCAAAAACGTTCTATAAGAGTTTTAATAATTTAACATATTGTGCCGAAATGCCAGGACAACTAACCAAAATACACGTACGCTTTTCTTCGATCCGAAAATTGATCCCGAACATCGGCGATTTCACGTTCGCCGGAATTTCAGAAACCCTAAAATTTCGCAAAAATTCTCAGTTTCCAAGCCAAACATGAGAATGAATTGTACTTTTATTATTAAATCAGCTTTAAATCTTTAAATATCGATCTTCAATTTGCCCCCATTTTGAAGATATTTGCTAAAATAATTGTCGATCGGATGAATCTCTTAACACACTGTGTGAAGCTGTACACGATTTTCCTATTCATTCCGCTAAACGCTGCCTATATACATTTACGTTTTTTTTTTAACAAATATAAACATTTTGTCTATAGAGTGGACTTATTTAACCAGAATAAAATTTTATTTGGTATAAAGGTGAAAAAAAAGAAAACCAAACAAAAAACGATTTCCATGTGTTGATGCATTAAAATGAAATAATTTCATGAAAAATATTAACAAAACAAAACAATAATTATGCTATATTATACTACATTTATATAAAATGTTCTTACAAACAAAAACATGTTTAAACTTATGTGTACTCCCAGATTTTGAAATGTACCCCCAATTTTCAATGACAGGGGGTACATGTACCCCTACATTTAAAATTGAGTGGGCATGCTGATAGATGTCTGCAGTTCTATAACTATGAGTTTTGTGTTCATGCTCATCATTCAAAACAGTTAGTGTAAACTTCAAATCAGAAGAATACTTTGCACTAAACAAGATAAGTTTTTAGTGTCCAACTTTATTTGTCTTCCAATGGAAACGCTGTACTTCTTCAAAATTCTGTTCATAGTCGCATTCTGTTTTTTACAGTGCTTCATAGACCCGCGTTTGTAAAACTAGTCATTTGCATAAATTTGCACATGAGCAGCCGCTTTTGAATATCAATTAAGTAAAAAATGACATCAAAAGGTCAACCTACATTAATATTGCATTTATTGATAAAGGATATACGTGCATTTCAGATTTAAATCCACGTCTTTTGGTTTGTTAGGCAAAGTGTGTACCCACATTTTTTAAGCCAACCCACTTTAAAAAAAATCCAGTGGGCATGTCGAGAGAACACAAACTACTGAACAAGAAAAAAATGAATAACCTGTTATATTCAGTCTCTTGAATGACTGGTACTGCAGCACACTGTTGTTGTAGTGGAACTGTAAAATATAATAACAAACAAAAATTTCACATGTGAATTAACCTGTTAGCTTTTGCAATGTTAAAGTATTTATTCAACACAGAACATTTCATAAATATCTTCTTAAAATTTTTAACCATTTTACTGTTTATCAACACAAGTTCTTTCACTTTCACACTTTCTTTAGGCCGTAATCTATTAACTCTTGTTTTATCACAATAAAAAAAGTTGCCGTGCTAAAACATCAAATGCATTTCAAGACATTATCAAAAACTTTAAACAGAAATAATACATACTGATTTCCGAAATAGTTGTTGAGCAGGAGTCTTCATTATCTAACTCTAGTGATCCAATCTGATCCATGTTACATGTATCTTTAAAACTATGTTCCTTGTCTGAATCAGAGAATAAAATAAAGTACAATCCATTTTTGTAATAAACTTATAACAATTTTATGTCAGTATCAACTTCCAAATACAAGGCAAATATGGTTTCACCTAGAGCTGTCATTGATTCAGTGCATAGCATATCAACAATATATAGATATGATAATTATCGAATGACAAATATCAACAATACACTGATATATCGATAATTCTTTCATCATTAATTATCTGTGATTCATTTTCATACCTATTTTAAATGATTTCAGTAAAATACATGTTTTCTGTGATGCTGCTCAGTCATTATGCAATACATGCACAAAGGAGACCAAAAAGCAGGGAAATCAATGATGGAAGGCAAAAATTTATAATTTTAGATACCTTTTAAATCAAAAACTTTAAACAGAAATAATACATACTGATTTCCAAAATAGGTGTGGAGCAGGACTCTTCATTATCTAACTCTAGTGATCCAATCTGATCCATGTTACATGTATCTTTAAAACTATGTTCCTTGTCTGAATCAGAGAATAAAATAAAGTACAATCCATTTTTGTAATAAACTTATAACAATTTTATGTCAGTATCAACTTCCAAATACAAGGCAAATATGGTTTCACCTAGAGCTGTCATTGATTCTGTGCATAGCATATCAACAATATATAGATATGATAATTATCGAATGACAAATATCAACGATACACTGATATATCGATAATTTTTTCATCATTACTTATCTGTGATTCATTTTCATACCTATTTTAAATGATTTCAGTAAAATACATGTTCTATTTATACAGTTAGAAAAGAATTACATAAGACATGTTTTCTGTGATGCTGCTCAGTCATTACGCAATACATGCACAAAGGAGACCAAAAAGCAGGGAAATCAATGATGGAAGGCAAACATTTTTAATTTTAGATACCTTTTAAATCAAAAACTTTAAACAGAAATAATACATACTGATTTCCAAAATAGGTGTGGAGCAGGACTCTTCATTATCTAACTCTAGTGATCCAATCTGATCCATGTTACATGTATCTTTAAAACTATGTTCCTTGTCTGAATCAGAGAATAAAATAAAGTACAATCCATTTTTGTAATAAACTTATAACAATTTAATGTCAGTATCAACTTCCAAATACAAGGCAAATATGGTTTCACCTAGAGCTGTCATTGATTCAGTGCATAGCGTATCAACAATATATCGATATGATAATTATCGAATGACAAATATCAACAAAACACTGATATATCGATTATTTTTTCATCATTACTTATCTGTGATTCATTTTCATACCTATTTTAAATGATTTCAGTAAAACACATGTTCTATTTATACAGTTAGAAAAGAATTACATAAGACTTGTTTTCTGTGATGCTGCTCAGTCATTACGCAATACATGCACAAAGGATACCAAAAAGCAGGGAAATCAATGATGGAAGGCAAAAATTTATAATTTTAGATACCTTTTAAATCAAAAACTTTAAACAGAAATAATACATACTGATTTCCAAAATAGGTGTGGAGCAGGACTCTTCATTATCTAACTCTAGTGATCCAATCTGATCCATGTTACATGTATCTTTAAAACTATGTTCCTTGTCTGAATCAGAGAATAAAATAAAGTACAATCCATTTTTGTAATAAACTGAACTTAGAACCAATTAATAACAATTTAATGTCAGAATCAACTTCCAAATACAAGGCAAATATGGTTTCACCTAGAGCTGTCATTGATTCTGTGCATAGCATATCAACAATATATAGATATGATAATTATCGAATGACAAATATCAACGATACACTGATATATCGATAATTTTTTCATCATTAATTATCTGTGATTCATTTTCATACCTATTTTAAATGATTTCAGTAAAATACATGTTCTATTTATAGTTAGAAAAAAATTACATAAGACATGTTTTCTGTGATGCTGCTCAGTCATTATGCAATACATGCACAAAGGAGACAAAAAAGCAGGGAAATCAATGATGGAAGGCAAAAAATTGTAATTTTAGATACCTTTTAAATCAAAAACTTTAAACAGAAATAATACATACTGATTTCCAAAATAGATGTGGAGCAGGACTCTTCATTATCTAACTCTAGTGATCCAATCTGATCCATGTTACATGTATCTTTAAAACTATGTTCCTTGTCTGAATCAGAGAATAAAATAAAGTACAATCCATTTTTGTAATAAACTTATAACAATTTAATGTCAGTATCAACTTCCAAATACAAGGCAAATATGGTTTCACCTAGAGCTGTCATTGATTCTGTGCATAGCATATCAACAATATATAGATATGATAATTATCGAATGACAAATATCAACGAAACACTGATATATCGATAATTTTTTCATCATTAATTATCTGTGATTCATTTTCATACCTATTTTAAATGATTTCAGTAAAATACATGTTTTCTGTGATGCTGCTCAGTCATTATGCAATACATGCACAAAGGAGACAAAAAAGCAGGGAAATCAATGATGGAAGGCAAAAATTTATAATTTTAGATACCTTTTAAATCAAAAACTTTAAACAGAAATAATACATACTGATTTCCAAAATAGGTGTGGAGCAGGACTCTTCATTATCTAACTCTAGTGATCCAATCTGATCCATGTTACATGTATCTTTAAAACTATGTTCCTTGTCTGAATCAGAGAATAAAATAAAGTACAATCCATTTTTGTAAAGAACTTATAACAATTTTATGTCAGTATCAACTTCCAAATACAAGGCAAATATGGTTTCACCTAGAGCTGTCATTGATTCAGTGCATAGCATATCAACAATATATAGATATGAATCAACGATACACTGATATATCAATAATTTTTTCATCATTACTTATCTGTGATTCATTTTCATACCTATTTTAAATGATTTCAGTAAAATACATGTTCTATTTATACAGTTCGAAAAGAATAACATAAGACTTGATTTCTGTGATGCTGCTCAGTCATTACGCAATACATGCACAAAGGATACCAAAAAGCAGGGAAATCAATGATGGAAGGCAAAAATTTATAATTTTAGATACCTTTTAAATCAAAAACTTTAAACAGAAATAATACATACTGATTTCCAAAATAGGTGTGGAGCAGGACTCTTCATTATCTAACTCTAGTGATCCAATCTGATCCATGTTACATGTATCTTTAAAACTATGTTCCTTGTCTGAATCAGAGAATAAAATAAAGTACAATCCATTTTTGTAATAAACTTATAACAATTTAATGTCAGTATCAACTTCCAAATACAAGGCAAATATGGTTTCACCTAGAGCTGTCATTGATTCAGTGCATAGCATATCAACAATATAAGGATATGATAATTATTGAATGACAAATATCAACAATACACTGATAAATCGATTATTTTTTCATCATTCATAATCTGTGATTCATTTTCATACCTATTTTAAATGATTTCAGTAAAATACATGTTTTCTGTGATGCTGCTCAGTCATTACGCAATACATGCAGAAAGGAGACCAAAAAGCAGGGAAATCAATGATGGAAGGCAAAAATTTATAATTTTAGATACCTTTTAAATCAAAAACTTTAAACAGAAATAATACATACTGATTTCCAAAATAGGTGTGGAGCAGGACTCTTCATTATCTAACTCTAGTGATCCAATCTGATCCATGTTACATGTATCTTTAAAACTATGTTCCTTGTCTGAATCAGAGAATAAAATAAAGTACAATCCATTTTTGTAATAAACTTATAACAATTTTATGTCAGTATCAACTTCCAAATACAAGGCAAATATGGTTTCACCTAGAGCTGTCATTGATTCAGTGCATAGCGTATCAACAATATATAGATATGAATCAACGATACACTGATATATCAATAATTTTTTCGTCATTACTTATCTGCGATTCATTTTCATACCTATTTTAAACTATTTCAGTAAAATACATGTTCTATTCATACAGTTAGGAAAGAAATACATAAGACTTGTTTTCTGTGATGCTGCTTACGCAAAGCATGCACAAAGGAGACCAAAAAGTAAGCAAATCAATGATAGAGAAATTTATAAATTTTAGCTACACTTTTAATCAGAGGCATTAACATAATATAGAAAGTTTTATCAAGGATACAAACCTTCCCATGTATCACTTTCACTATCTGACACTTCAGATTCTTTGTTCACATCAAATGGGTCTGAATCTGAATCTGATAAAAACAATCACAATAATTCTATCTCAAGTCTAAATTCAATAAATGCATATTTTTATTAACATGACTATTCAGTTGTGACATTAAAATAATTATCAAGATGCTTCCAAATCAGTCTATGTATTATCACTAACTTTTATACAAATTAAGGCAAACATTAGCAACCATTCTGTTTTAAACAGATATGACATACATGTCTTGACATTTGAGGTATTATATATATGATTCTTATGTGTAACTTACTGTCTTACCTTGCTTAAAGTATGTCAACACAAAAATGCTTGAAAACACAAACTATACTAGGGGGCAAAATTGGCCCCAGGTAGCTCACCCGTGTACAAAATGATAATGGAGTAAAAAATAAAAACTGGCCTTAAACCTAGGTAAACTGATACCAATTGTCTATTATGCATTTGGAACTGTGCAAATTGTTCACTAATTCATAGATGTATATCAAACATATGTTAAATCAAGTGACTCTGAATCAGGGTCAGTACTGTCCCTGGGGCCATAATTCGAACGATCTTGGTAGAGGTTACCTAGAGGATAGTACACACCAAATATCTAAGCTCTAAGTCAAATTTTACACAATGTTTAATGCTTATAAAATATATTGTCATTGAAATAAATGAATGCAATTGTCTCTCATAATAAATTAATTATGAATGCACTGACTGTTTGCAAACTTGTTTGCTTCTCAATATCTAATCTATACTATGCTAATCTTTTAGTTTCAGCAAAGAAAGTTATTGAAATCTATGAACTGAATATGTCTATAATTTCCATAAAAGAATGAATAAGCTATGTATTTAAGTAGTTTAAGCTTAATGAGGGTCCATCCGCCCGCGAGGGCACAAAATGCAGCTTGCACTGTCGAGTACGGACCTACAAACTGCAAGGGTTTTTTTGTTTTTTTATTGACATTATATATTCATATTGTGACCTATAGTGTGAGACTTTTAAACATATCTACTTTGTGTGAAGTCAAAACATTTCTACTTTATATTTACAAAGAGACTTGTAACAAATATCAATATTTTCTTAATATCAAATTTGAACATAGTATATATTTAATATAAAATATAATTTTTTTTGCTCCCCTAAATCAGGTAGACATAAGTTGGCATTTTTTGTGAATGCCTTTGACCTATGATAGGCCACTGTGTTGAATGAGAACATTAATTGCAGGGCCAAAAAACACTTTTTGTACAGGCAGAATATAGGCTGCTTCCCCCACCAAACTAGCCTCTTTTTTTCCCCCAGTTTGGTCCTCAAAATTCCCCAGTCTTTTGAATTTACCCATAAAATTTAGAACAAAATTAAATGATGGTGTTGAATTAAGGTCTTTTACTGCCTTATTAGTATTTCCCAGTGCCTTTTGCTCTTCGATTTTGAAGAATTTGTTAAAAGTTTGAATTATATTTGAGGCCTCTTTTCCCAAAGTTTGCCAAAATCATGCTATTTTCCCCAAGAAAAAGGCTGAGGCCCCTTCCCCAAAGCTGGTGTTTTGGCCCTGCATTGTAACAGTAACATAACTTTAACTAAATTTACCAAACAATCAAGAGCAACAAAAGTTGCTCCATATCAGATATGTATTCAAGATTCAAACCTTATAATTTCAACAAGAATAGTCTTAAAGATTTCAATATTAATTTTTTCCTCATTGACCTTCTAAAGTCAATTAAGAAATAACATCAGCAGGCCTTTCTTCCCCTATACCACAGGTCTGAATATCGGCCCCATTCCCAATCCAAATTAAAGTTTTTTTCCCATAAAAAAAAAACCAAAACATTCCCAATCTAGAAGTCCAGTGATTTTTTTTTCCAATTTTCAAAACAAAGGTAATAGCGACCTTGAACTTTGACCGTGTGACCCCAAAATCAATAGGGGTGTTCAAACCAATATAGACAATCATCCTATGATGTTTCAACAAATAGTTTTTTGTTTTGTTTGTTTGTTTCATTTTACGCCTTTTTCCAACAGTATTTCAGTCATATAGGCGGGTAGTTTCCTAACCATTGTTCCTGGAGAGTTACACCAGTACTAGCCAAATAGAAATTAAGTTATGTTCTGGAAACTGTTTTCAGTATTACAGTAATAGTGACCTTGACCATTGACCTTGTGACACCAAAGTCAATAGGGGTATTCTATCCAATATGGACATCACACTGAATTTTTTAAAGTGTGACCATCGGAGAAAGATATATCCATTTTTATATATGAAGTCATTCTGTTGCCTTTAAGCACATTGCTTGTTATGAATTGTGATAAATTTTTACAGCAGTTGAAAAAAGGTGAATATGAATTTCAAAAGCAAGTGTCTTTTTTTATATATATATAATTTGCATGATACAGAATGAAAACACACAAGGAATGGACAACGTCAGTAAAATACATAATTAGGTAGTTTTGTTTATATATTAGAACAAGAGCGATCAGTAATCACATGTGTCGCCTCATGATGGCCAATTTCATGTTGGGACAAAGTTTGTGACAGACAGACAGACGGACAGTGCACAACTAGACTTGGTACTGATCATTCCTGTAAAGTTTGGATAAAATTGCACAAGTAGTTTATGAGGAGTAGTCCGGACAAGCTTTTGCGTATCTGGCAACACACAGAAAAAACACCTTTTTATTAAAGGGCCATAACTCGGCCAAAAATCATTCAACCGGAAAACCCGTGCAAAATGCGCAAGGACTTGAGCTACAGATCAATCCTGTAAAGTTTCATTGAAATTGCTTTAGTGGTATAAGAGAAGTAGTCCGGACAAACTTTAAAAATAAAAATTATTAAAGGGCGATAACTCTGACAAAAATCATTGAACCTGAAAATGCTGATTATATGCACAACTACCCTTGGTACTGATCATTCCTGTAAAGTTTAGATGAAATTGCACAAGTAGATTATGAGGAGTAGTCCGGACAAGCTTTTGTGTATCTGGCAACACACAGAAAAATACACCTTTTTTATCAAAGGGCCATAACTCTGCCAAAAATCATTCAACCGGAAAACCCTTGCAATATGCGCAAGGACTTGAGCTACAGATCAATCCTGTCAAGTTTCATTGAAATTGCTTTAGTGGTATAAGAGAAGTAGTCCGGACAAACTTTAAAATTAAAAATTATTAAAGGGCCATAACTCTGCCAAAAATCATTGAACCGGAAAATGCTGACAATATGCACAACTAGACTTGGTACTGATCATTCCTGTAAAGTTTGGATGAAATTGCACCATTAGTTTATGAGGAGTAGTCCGGACAAGTTTTGTGACGGACAGACGGACGGACTGACGGACAGACAGACGACAGAGAAGTGATCCCTATATGTCGCCACTACTCCGTAGAGGCGACACAAAAAGAACAGCCACATAAACATGTAGTCCTTTAACAATGTTTGTTGGCTAATACCAATGTTTTTTCTCCTTCTTTGTCTGATAAAAATACAAGTGATGATAGCAATTCTGTTTACACTAAATTTTAAGATTTATAAAACAACATAAAAAATTCTTCATAAGAGACATCAGGGATCAGGTGCAATCAAAGATAAACTAGAACTGCCACTATCATGGCATGAATACCCCCGCATACCACTTTGTCAGAATCAACATTGGCCATTTAGAGCTCAAGGACAACCTCCCTGCCAAATCTGAGGTTACTAAGCCAGTGCATTGCTAAGTTATGCTTCAAATTTAAAATTGTCAAAATCAATACATTGCGGACAGGACATACTCTAGCAATTGAGAAGAAAAGCTTTTTTTTTGTCAAGGTCCCTGTGACCTTGACCTTTGACCCAGTGACCTCAAAATCAATAGGGATCACCTTATAGTCATGACCAACATCCATGCCAAATATGAAGACTGTGGGTCAAAGGAATCTAAAGTCATTGGGCAGACAAACTTTTTGAAGTCAAAGTCCCTGTGACCTTGACCTTTGACCTGGTGACCTCAAAATAAATAGGGGTCATCTACTAATCATGACTAACCTCCATTCCAAATATGAAGACTGTGGGTCAAAGGAATCTTAAGTTATTGGGCGGACAAGCTTTTTGAAGTCAAGGTCCCTGTGACCTTGACCTTTGACATGGTGACCTCAAAATCGATAGGGGTCATCTACTAATCATGACTAACCTCCATGCCAAATATGAAGACTGTGGGTCAAAGGAATCTTAAGTTATTGGGCGGACAAGCTTTTTGAAGTCATGTCCCCTGTGACCTTGACCTTTGATCTAGTGTCATCTACTAATCATGACTAACCTCCATGCCAAATATGAAGACTGTGGGTCAAAGGAATCTTAAGTTATTGGGCGGACAAGTCTTTTTGAAGTCAAGTCCCTGTGACCTTGACCTTTGATCTAGTGACCTCAAAATCAATAGGGGTCATCTACTAATCATGACTAACCTCCATGCCAAATATGAAGACTAAGGGTCAAGGGAATCTAAAGTTATTGGGCGGACAAGAAAAAACGGACTGACAGCCTGACGGACGGCCTGACGGACAGACAAGCTGATTCCAGTACACCCCCCTTACAACTTTGTTGTGCGGGGGTATAAAAATATTTAATTTTGTTTTCTTTGTTCAATGATCTCCATGTTTGTTTTGTTGGGAAGGTCATGTGCGGACTTTTCTCAGGCATACCTCAGCAGGAGTAGAACCACCAATATTCCAAAGATAGCTGGATAGCTTCGAAACATGAAGGAATCCAAACAGCAGTGAGAAAAAAAAGTGATTCAAAGTCAATGACACTAACCACTCAGGCACCCCCAAACATTGTGATACTCTGTGCAAAATTAAGACTGGAAAATGGCATGGAAACTAGTTTGGAACACCTTTATACATGTAAATAGCAAATTATTTTGATTAAAATAAATTTTCAAGGTCAGGAAAAATATTTGAATTAACCCTTAAACTAATTTTCTCTAGATATTTTATTTACTTTCTTGATTTAATGTCATTTCAATTAAGCAAATGAGCTTTTATGAAAAATTAAATCTGTCTGATCATAACCTATTGAAGTATGTTAATATTATTCCTGATTTTTTTTCTAACACCCTTCTTAAAATGGGACAAGATGTATAAACAAGAGATCCATGATAACCCTAAAACACTCACCAGGACCTCATTGCTGAAGTTTTATGATAAAAATTGTTTAGTATTTATTTCTATAAATAATTATATAAATTTATTTCATGCTTTCCAGTGTTTTACTGGAATATATCAGATGATTATATTCTGAATTTCTGATAAACCACTAGTGAAATTTATAAAATATAATTTTCACTGTAGCTGGACTATAATTGAATGGGGATGAAAACAAAACCATAAATAAATGGAATAACAGGCAGAAATAAATTCCGTAAATGTTGCTTCTTTAGGAAAAGAAAATTTGTCGCCATACACCATGTTAAATAAGTTACAAAATTAGGGGAATGCCCGACATTACGCGGCAAAATCATTAAAGAATATTGTAAATCCCTTAAAAATAGCATGAAATAAAAAGAAAATTTATTTTTTTTACATATAAGATTCATGAACACCAGCTATTCTATTTTCACTTGTCAAAATATTGCTCAATATTCACTCAGTGAAATATATTTCAAACTTACATGCAAAACCTCTATATAAATAATTTATAAAATAATTCAAAACTAACGCAACTTTGTATAATTATAAAAGGAATAATGTTTACCATAACAATATTGATCTTCCAAGTCAGTATTCTGTCGGGATAAAGCAATTTTTCAACAAGGATAAACATGTATCTGTATTATCCACACACTTATAATTATAGTAACTTTTGCATTACAGTTTTGGTGCACACAGTTAATTCTAGTATATTTCACTGATAAAGAATTATAGTAGGATATCACTTAACAAACAATTATAGTATGATATCACTTAACTAACAATTTGAGCTTGTCAAATTTGGCTTAAAGTGAAAAAATAAATGAAGTGAAATATTACCTTCTTTCTCCACCACAAGCTTTGTTTGTCCCCATAATCATACAATATTTCCTCTCCATAATTAATGTCCTTCTTGGCAAAGAGACACAATCTTGCAACTTTATTAATGACCCTTAGTTTCATCACCGAGTTTCCATTATGGTTATCATTAACATACTGGCAAATGTGGCTACATTCTCCACTGGCATCGATGCTAGGTGACATGCAATGACAAAATCATTATATTACATTGAAATGCAATTTCTCTACATTGTCATCATACTCTTTAGTAAGTAATTTAATCACCTTTGTTGTTGTATAGTAGAACTATTATTGATAGCTTTATCATGCTACTGTGGTAAAATTTTTCAAACTTAACCCTTTACTTCATATAGACGTGTTTTGGCTCCCCCACCCCCCTTTTTGAGGCCTCCAACAGTGAAAAAATGCACTTTTTAGGCCCAAAAACACTGTGAGAAATGTTGATAAATAAGTTATCACATTTACGGTGCCATGCCCTATCAAAATGGTACATCAGGGGGTTGCCAGAAGAGTTTCAAGGTTTGAAAACCCCCTTTATCGGCCTAGGAAATTTTGGACATGTGACAGGCTAAAAATGGCCTCAGGTTGATTGTAAGGTAACGTGTAGCCAAAACTGAAAAGACTTTTACTCTATCTAAATCCATTGAGAAGTTGCAAAACTTTGAAATCAGTTTTGATGGAAAAAAAAACAATGCAAAATAGTGAACTTTAGCAATTTTGAGACGACCCCCATTGATATGGTAACAAGAAATTTAAAATTGAGCATGCTGTTACAGCAGTGTTCCCATTTACGCACATATGTGCGTATTTTACGCACAAATAACAAAATTCACGTACAGAAATTTAGGCAAGAGGGTAAAAATACGCACAGAAAGTCGGAATCTTAATCATGTATAATTCAAAAATTATTCTTTTGAGCAATTTTTCAAACAAAATTCACTTAAAGTGCATTGAAATTGATGAAATGTGAGAAAATCTCCGAATTCACAATGAAGTTTACAGACCCCCAACTGGGAATTATTGCCGTAAATTACAAATTTGAAATTTTTGTTTTACGATGCCTGTAAGAATAGCCAATGAAAAACAGTCTTAAAATATTAAAAAATATTAATTCTAATATAATTGTAGTCAGCAACAACTGGAATTGTAAATGTTTCTGCAGAAAACTGACGAATTTTCATTTGTCACATATTTTTGCGATGCCGATTTTGTTAATTAAAAACATCAACAAAAGGGAAGCTTTGTTTTGTTCAAAGGTGTGTAGTCACAATTTATATGCTGTTTATGAACTTAGATAACTTCAATAATGTTTATATTAATTGAGATTGAGATATATGCCAGTATGTGTTGGTCACAATTAATTTTACCTAAGGGGGGGGGGGGGGGGGGGGGGGGGGGCAGTGATGAAGTGAATCTTGAAGAAAACAGCATAATTGTCTGACGTATGATTTTGGAATTATCCTTAAATTTCATATAAATATTGTACAAATTTAAGTACCCCCTGAATTTTTATTTTACCCCCAGTTTTCAAAGGTAAGGGGTAAAAATACTCCCAATGAAAAATAGAAGTGGGAACACTGTACAGAGGCTATGGTCCATTTAACATTTGTGCCAAGTTTCATCAGTATTGAAGCATTTTTCATAGCTTCATAGCAGTTAACTGTTAACAGGAGGCTTTTCAATGAAAACACCATTTTTCACAATATGCTCATGAGGTAAAGGGTTAAGTTACTCAATTTATCACAACTTCAGTACATTATGTCTTTGAAAAAAGAATGTTTCAGAAAAGAGCCTGTCACGATCTGAACTACCAGAAACCTGGCAGACATCTAAAAAATGCTATAGACATCAATATTTTAGCTCTAGGTAGTTTCAGGAAAGTTTTCAAAGATTGCACTTTCAAAATATATATTCAGCTTCTTTGACCCAGATATGCAACAGACTGGAAAGATATGGGTTTTTCATTCAAGGAACATCCCAAGCAAAAGGTATCCAATTTGGCTCAATAGCTTCAATTTTTTTATTTGAAACAATAATGAGACAATATGAAGTCTGATAATAACAACTGATAATTAAATTTGAGAGGCCAGTTAAGGAAATACCATTGTCGTTTTCCGTTGTAAGAGAAATAAAACATCATGTTTGCTGGATTTTTTCTCTCTCGTACTTCAGCTTCCTCAATGCTTATTCTCTCTCCAGCATATTCTAATAAAAAATCACCTTTTTCAAAAGGTGTTTTTGAGAACACTCCAAATCCTGAAATCAACAAGCAATTATCAAAGTATTGCAAGCAATCCATAAATCCCCTACCGGTTAGAACCCCAGCAACATTCTGAAGGGCCATTGGCCATTCACTTATGTTTCTATTTTAAGTAAATTTGTTGAAAAAGTTCTTTAAAAGTGATCACAGGAAACAGTTTTTATGTACAGAGGGAAACAGTTTTTATGTACAGACAGACGGACTGAAGAACACTCTAAAGTTATTTTTTAAAACATCCCTGTTATCAAAATATAATATTTTTAAAAGCAAAATTTTTAAAAAGGAGATTACTCTTGAAATAAAGATGCAAGATGTGATACATGATGTGAGTGTAACAAAGAACAATTAGTAATGAAGGTATGAATAATAAATGTTTATTTTGAATTTGAAGTAAATGAAAGTTAAAAGAATGAATAGGAAAAATTAAAAGTTTAAGGAGGAGATTATTCTGGAAATATGGATGCTAGATTTATAAACCTTGTCATAATTATTATTATGATGTGGGAGTTTGAAGAAAATCCTATCACGATTGAAGAAGTTGGAGTAAAAATTACCAATTTCTCAAAAAAAAGTCTAAGTTCAAAAGGGGCATAATTCTGGAAATAGTCTTGCTAGAGTATTGAACTTTCTCACAGATGTTGAGTGACAATAAGAAACATTTATTTAAATGAAGTTTGAAGTAGATACATTCAGAAAAAAAGAAGTTATTAAAAAAAAACAATATTTTTTTTATGAAAATTTTAAGTTCAAGGGAGGGTAATTCTGATAAATTTTGTCCTATAGTTGTAAACCTTGTCACATATGATGTGGTTGATGACTAGCAACTTATATTTAAAGTTTGAAGAAAATACCTAAAGAAATAAAGAACTTATAGTGAAAAAACTTAAAAACTAAAATCAGAAATCTTGAAACTCAGTCTTATTTGTTGCCATAGCAACCAGAATTTTCAACATAGGAAGATAAGAAAAGGATGTTCATAATTTCTATACTGCCATCTACCCATATGTCAAGTTTAATAAAAATATTTTCAATAATTTTTGCGTTATCACTGGATCCAGGTTATGTGTAAAATTTGCCATATTTTCAGTCTATTTGTTGCCATAGCAACCACAATTTTCAGCATAGGACAAAAGAAAAGAAGTGCATAATTGCCATAATGCCATCTATCCATAATTTAAGTTTCATAAAAATATTTTCAGTACTTTTTGTGTTATCGTGGGATCCAGGTTATGTGTAAAATTTACCATATTTTCAGTCTATTTGTTGCCAAAGCAACCAGAATATTGAACATAGGAAGAATTAAAAAGACATGCATAATCTCCATACTGCCATCTATCCATATATCAAGTTTCATTAAAATATTTTCAGTACTTTTTGCATTATCCTGGGATCCAGTTTTGTGGACGGACAGACTTATTTAACTACGGAATGAAGCTCATAATAATCAAATGTTTGCTCGGACGGACGGACCGAGGGACAGACAGATGGACGGAGGGTTATGAAACTGTAGAATGCTTGATTTTTAGGCAGACGGAAAAATATTTTTACATATTTATTTAATGTAGCTTTAAAAGAGAATTAATTCAGATAAGACATACTCAGCTGGTTTTACCATTTTTTCCAGTTATGAATATATAAACGTTAAGTGTTATGTGACATAATGTCTTTTTTCTGATGAATGGAATTACTGATACTATTTTCCTAAATTTTAAAACCTTATCTGGAGCTCTGCTAAAATGACCTAGAAACATCTAATTTACCTTTGTAATCAGATATATATTTGACCTCAAAATCTTCCCTGTCAAACCCTGCGTTACAGAAGAATTCAGCGTCTGCATCTGGAGATTGTCTTTTCCTTCTCTGAGCAAAGAAAATATAAGAAATATGCTAACCTTTCTCACTTTATGAATATTCATATTTCCACCCCTAATAAGACTGTCACTTAAAAATCTTGTTGTTTCTAGATTTCATGAGGACTGTTCAAAGAGTAATAGGACTAAAAGTCTTGTATCTTCATTATCAATTTAGAATATAAATATTTCTTCAGTTGAAGCACAAGAGTATAATATTCTTGAAACTTAACAAGTGTTCCCTGTGATATTGAATAACTATGGTAACACTCACCTGGTGCAGCACATAAGAAATTTATTGAAGCTTAGTTGTACTTATGATTTATTCATAATTTATTTTCTTTTTTTGCCATAATATATTCCACCAACACAATTTATTATATTTCAGTGACATTATACCCAGATTTGATGTCAAACATCAAATGTCTAAATAATCAAGCTTTGAACAGCAGTGGTCATAACATAACATTAAATGTAGAAATCTGACAATAGTTAAAAAATTGAAAATGTGTGCTATTGTTAACCTTTGCCAACAAATTGGCGATACTCCTTCAGATACACACAAAAACATAAAATAAACAAATTACAATTAATCAACTATCAGGATACCAGTTTTTCAGATTGTGCAAGCAATTCAAATATGGCAAATAAGAGATCACAAACAGGAAAGGTTAAGGATGATAGCGGGAAATTGACGGGTATTTGTGGCGTCAAATGAAAAAGTGCTACAAAAGGATCGACGGTACAGTCCACAAATTGTTCGGCACATTTAATGTCTGCATTGGGTCTACTGATTCAGTTGAGTTCTGACCAAATTATTAAATATTTCAATAAATTATATACATGTTATCAATAAATTAATATAATAATGATTAATAATAATGATTAATATTTTTCCCCCCAAATTTTCTTTTAAAAATTATATGCTGCTCTAACAGGGCTCTAACAACTCGCTATTAGAAGAGTTTGACCATCAGAGTGAAATCTTCTTCGCCGCATTTTTTAACTTACCGTATCACACAGCGCATGCCAATAAATTTAATCCTCGTCTCCAGGCGTAAATCAAAGAGAACTGATTACACACTGTTACTTCCGATAATTGACAGCAATTAACACATTTAAGTTGAAGTTAATCAGGAAGAAAACAGTATAATTATAAATGGTCAGATGATAGAGGGTCTTAGAAATTAATTTTCAAATATTTTCAATCACTTTTTAACATACAGTGTTTCCCATTTGGAACATTATATACTTGTTTAATTTAAAAAAAAATAAATAGATCTAAATAAAAATATCTACATTTGAATGAAATTAAATAAATCTGCACATGTATTCATCTTATATATATAATTTAATATTTATAAATATTATCAAGTTAATAGATAAATTTATCATAAAGCATCTTTTTATAGATGAAATCAATGTGCATAGCACTTTTTCACTTTTCCTTATGTAGTCAAACTTCTCCCGATAGGAGTTGAGGGAGAAGTCACTTCTCCCTAAAATCTTGGTCTAGCTAGAGCCCTGTCTTAGTATGAAAATGTAATTTTCAATTAATAAATATTGTCATTTTCAGAGCAACAGATAAGGTGCGTATTTGCGTATTTACGCAATTAATTTTATAAAATACGCAATTGATTTTTTAAGAATGCGTATCAAAACCCATTATAAAAATTAAAATACGCAATTGTCTTAAAAACCTGTGCGTATTGTCATTTTCTTCACCCCCAAATTAATCTGTCGTACACTCGTTGTTTTGGACAAATTATATCGATATGCATGATATCCGAATATTCCCGAATCAATGCCAACTTATCAACGGTCTCCGGTCTTCGATGGTCCCCGGTCTCCAAAGACCGACTAAGCATGAGACCGTCGATTTGTCTACTCAGGTTGACGGTCTTTTCAGACCGGCAGAGACCGTTGATTTTGCTGAGACCGTCAATAATTAGGTCCCAGCTGTATCAATAGACGCTTTGAAAAGCAATATGGCGTCGAACAAAAGGGAAAATGATTTGAAACAAAACAGTCGCAAATAATCAAAAATCAGTCAGAAAACGAACTTGTTAAAAACAATATGAAATATAACAGGAGCATTTTATATAAAAAAATAAAACAATTGTGAAAAGTTCTAGTAAATTGTTTCTTTTTAAAACAGTTAAGATATCTAAATTTAATTTTATTGATATTGAAACCATAAAATTCATATCTTCATAATTAAATACCCAATTGATCTTGAAATCGAAGGGTATCGAGTTTTTGAATACCCAATTCTATGGAGCCAATACCCAATTCCAAAGGAAATGATGGAGTGATATCCAATTCACTTTTAAAGCTTATCTGTTGCTCTGATTTTACTTATATAACTGGGGGAAAAGGCCTGCATGATGTGATCTGACAGACTGACTGCCAAGCTGACGCTTATATTCCCCCTAAACTTTGTTTGTAGGGGTGTAATTACTTGTAAAATGCAAAACTCAACTTTTCAATTTTATCCAAAAAAAAAAACAAAACAAAAAAAACAAAAATTGATGGACTCTTAAAAAGATCAAAAGTGTTGCTGAATTGGCCTTTAAGTGCAAGGGCATCATGCAACAGATTCCTACAAAATACTTATTTTTAAACCTACCTTGAAACTTATTTGCTTTGCAAGGGCTTCCTTCAACTGAAATATAAAAATCGTTCATTTACAGGTCATATAATTTTTTGAATCTCAACTTAATTCAAAAGTCTGCAAAGGCAACAGTAACTACCAAAACTGGTTGTTGAATTTCAGTAACAAACAAGTAATGTCAGAATGACATTTACAAATCACCCCCCAGGGTTTTTTTCCAGGATTTTGGGAACATCATCCATACCCATGGAATTGGGAATTTCAGCGATGTTTTTTAAAATTTGGGAAAAATTGCATGACTTAAATTTTGCAGTGATTAAATAAATGCAAAGAATGCAAAGAATAACTGTCAGGAAGGCATCTTCAAACTATTAACAGTGGAGAAATCCTTATTTTCCAAGATTTTAGAATTTGTTATTAAATATTTTTATTTTGTAAATTTGGAATTTTTTCCTGTGGATTGGGAAATAATATACTATTTTCGATTGAGAATATGACCGAATATCGGCTATAAAATAAGGCAAAAAAATCCCTGCCCCCATCCACTTTATGCATTTTAACAGCAATAAAAATTTTACTACATAATGCCAAACATCAAAACAAGAGCCATGGCAAGTGGGGATCACGCTTGTCTTTCTTAATACCCAAGATTCAATTCAAAGGCCAATTTTGAAAAATAAAAGAATATTTCTTGTAATAAAACTGATATGCATGGGAAGATTTATACAAATTATGATGAATTCATATTCTGAAGAGCGTTTAGTTATGGCTTGATAATTCATATTTTCATTTGTTGGAAGTGTTTTGTATTTTTTAAATAATAAGTGTTGGTGTTCTCAAATAATATGATGAAAACATATGAAAAGTAATTATTACCAGTAATATTATAGTTCTTGGCCGATTTGACCAGTGACGAGTTGGAATAGGGCCGAGCTGAACCAGAGTCGATGTGCTAACAAAAACTACAGATGCTTGGGGGTTAGTAGTCTAATATATTAGACGTTAAAGGCTTGTTATAGTTTATGTTGGTCAAGCCTGACGTCTAATAGTTATTGCTCAAAAACGCATAGCATCATAAAAAATTCAAAAAATGTCTAAAGTCTTGCCTTTCAAGCTTTATTCAAAAGCTTATCTTCTTTTCTTTCAATTTCATGCTCAATCATACACAAAAAACTCTCCAACAATGTACTAATCAAATTAAACTATAATATAAACATCAATCTATTTTTGTCTATCAGCCATACTGGTTAAGCAAGGTGCTTTACAGATTGATTCCAAAATTTGGAACGGAAAAATATATTCGAACACACTGGCGGTGCATGGGCTATTATCTCATTTAACAAATATTCCATTAGAATGATCTGACTCTGTTAAATGCTCGCATTTGAATTAGACAATCAGATTTCATGCACTGTATGGCCGCCATTTGTTTATCGGCTGTAAAATGAATTTAAATACATTAATCATGATTTTAATTATTTTGACAAAAAGTATTTAGTTTTTTAGTTTTGTTCACATAAAATAGGTCAACAATAATGTAAACACACGCTGTCTTAATTGTTTTTCTTTCGCCCGATTTTCTGGCGAAAATGCTATGGGTTTTTGAGCAATTTCGATATGATGTTGCTATGCCCAGAAGAAAAATATCTCAAGGGGTTAGATCCTGCACCGCAACCTGATACGCCCCTGTAAACACTCTGTCAAAAATATTTTGATATTTAAACATGGGGGGGGGGGGGGGGGGGGGGGGAATCCCGGGATCCAGGATCGTATTAGATATAGAGGGAAAACTAATAAACTATATTTGTGTTGATTATTGTCTTAATGAAAGGCAATTACACTTTAAGTTTTTATTTTTATTGTATGTAATGAACGTTAAATTAATTTAACTTAGGATAATTGGAAAAATTAAAGACTATATTCTTGAATTGGTCAAATCCCGGGATCCCTATATATTTTAATACGATCCTGGCTTTTCGGAACCTATATTCTTGAACCAGGGCACTAGACACCCAGTGATTTTTCTACTTATAGAACAGACTCCGAAAAAAGGCCTCTTCCCAATTGAAATTTTCTTTAAAATCATGCAGTTTTCCCAAAAATATAAACTTAAACCAGCTTTTTTACTTCCCAAATCAGCAATTTTAGAGATATTTTTTCCCAAAATCAAGAGGCTAAGGCCTGTTCCCAATTAAGTGAGAAAAATCACTGACACCTTTCGGGGACAGGTACCCATATCCTAAACAAGGGGAATTTTGCATTGTTATTAGGCAAATTTATTATGTATTTAGTCAATCTTTTATCACATTTACTCATTTCACTATTTCCTACCATTGGTTTCAATAGTTTGTAATTTTCCTACCATTGAAATCAATAGCTAGTATATTTTTTAATTTAGACTAACAAATCAAACAATTTACTTTAAGTTAATTTATAATAGAATTGTAGGGGATTTTTTTCTGAGATAGGGGAAAAATACATATGATTTTGGGAGGGGAATGGTACCCATATTCGGCCCCAAAAACGACCAAACAAGTGCCCTGTGAACTGGTCAATTCCTGGGATCCCTGTATGTTTTAATATGATCCTGGATTATCTGAAAAATATCTTCTTAGACTGGTCAATTTCCGGGATCCTCATTATTTTTAAAGATTTTTATAACTACTACACATCAAACTTTTTCAGAAATCTCTACAAAAACATTCAAATGATGATCATAATAATATGCTTTTCTCTTCAAAATTTGAGGGGTGAAGTGTCTGGGGGGTGAGGTGTCTTGCTACCATCAAAATATAGGTGCTCACACCACTAAATGTTCGCATGGTTATTTTCAGCCCGATCTGATCAATATGTTTCAAAGTCTTAAGTAAATTCTTACAGCATAATGAATATTTTTTTGGCTTAAGTGTAAATGTGTTGGATAAATTAAAACATCAATATCGAATATTTTAAAGTAATTAGGTTGCCAGCTGATTGTAGGGTAAGGTCATTTACACCTGTTCAATTACGCATTTTGATTGGATAGATTTGTCAAATAGAGTGTCTTATAAAACTTGTGTAGTTTTCGGATGGTGTATGTCCTTGCAGAAGTATTTATACCAGTATTTATACCAAACAATTATTTAGGGCACAAATCGCTGAGAGGTAGACAGACGTTTCACTATTGAGACGGTTCACACCCAGACAGTTCACACCAAGCAATTCACTCCCAAATGGGAGTGAAATGTCTTGAAGATGTTTCACTCCCTTTTTATACCAAAATTATTTTGATACTTATGATATACTAACATAGACCTAAAATATTGAATTGAATTGAACTAAAATAGACCTTAAATTTAATAAATTAAAAAGGAGGATTTCAATTTTTTGTCAATGGCTTAAAACTCAGTTTTTTAAGTTCTATCATTTCAGTTATCTTATTTTCTTTATTGTTTTGAAATAAGGTGTTTTTCTATTCTTTGATCCAAATGTGCAATTATCAGTGATTATCACATTATTTCATTTAAAGAAAAAATATTTTTGATTAAAATAACACTTTAATATAACTAAGTATTTGATCTTTTGTAAACATGGACTCAATAGGCAATTTTAATTTAAAGCATAACAATCTTGTGACATTAACTTTGAGTTACATGTTTTTTGTTGTTAATTTTAAACATCGGATCAAAAATTGTTAAAATATTTTATGCTAGTATAGTGCATTTGTGATATATTTCAAAAAAATTAATGGCCATTGAAATCAGAAACATCTTTAAATAAAATTAGAAGCATTAGGACTTTTTCAATATTTGTCATGTATAATCATTTTTTGTGACTAAAATCAATTATTATATAAACAAAACTTATGGAGAAGTTTCTGTGTTTAAATTGGCTGTTGTCAAAAAATATTTTAATGGTCTAATAAACAACTGATTAGTAAACTGCTGTGTTTATACAACTGATTTAATAGTGTGTCAAACTGTTAGTTGATTGTCTCAGTGTTTATACAACTAATTAGCCAATGAGATAACACCACAATTACTTAAGTTTTTTTAATGGGTTTAATAAATTGATGAAGAAAATAATTTTAAAAAATAATTTATTTTATAGTTTTTATACACATGTTTTGCATTTCATTGTTTAAGACTTACAAAAAATAATCATTACATAGTCAATATATTTAATATATCGATATTTTTTATTATTTGAGTGATACATGTATTTATTACTTTACTGGTAATGATTTCAATATATTTAAACTGATACTTACAATATAGATGTTTTTGTTGTTCTTTCTATGTTATTCTATTTTTTTTTATTTACTATAAATAGAATTTTCTCATGTTGTTACACTGATAATAAAAGTGATATTTCAGAAATGTGTCGTTCTTATCACTCAACCCATAATTAAATGATACCATTGAATTCAACAAAATGAAACATTAAATTGAATTTCCTTTTAATACTGTTTAATATTAATGAAATTAAAATTTGTTTACTTTCCTAGGAAACATCTCTAAAAATTGGGAGTGAAACGTCCATACAATTGACAAAATGGGAGTGAAACGTCTAGGTGTGAACCGTCTTGGGAGTGAAACGTCTCAATAGTGAAACGTCTTGGGAGTGAAACGTCTGACATTCTCGCTGAGAAGGCACGAATCGATGAGAATAAGACATAATAATAATTAATAATACACCGAGATAGGTAGACAATTCCCGGGATTAGTCTACTATATGTTTAATATGATCAGCTTTTCTATAGGCAATCCAGGGATTTTTCCCCCACCACAAATGGGACATCTGCTACAACGATACAACTGGTTTTCAAACAATTTTTACAGATCTCAAAAAATTACCTTTTACCATAAAGTCTCAGTTTAGTTTTAAACCCCCAAGCATCTGTGACAAAAGCAATTGATTTGTCTAAATGTCAAAGGGGATACTTTAATAAACAGTCAAAAATTACAACCGATTTTAACAGCAAATCAACTGATGAAATGGGTACCCGATGAAATGGATCACAAATCTGTGAATAACAAAAAACCCGCCAAGGTCAAGGGCGGGCAAGTAGGTAGCCGTTAAACGACTACAATTAATTTAATCCTGATATTTGCACATTCTAAGTTTTCATTAAACAACAATAATATCAAGCTTCAAATTTGTAATGTAAGGACTGCTGCTTTTAAATCAAAATAAGCATAAAAATAGCTGAAAATACATACCATTCGTTTACCGTAAGAAAGCGCCATTTTCGGTGAGGGCTTACATCCGGTTATCTTTTCGGCGAAAAGAACTTCATTAATCGGAAAGGTCCTTTCATATTTGCACGACACCAAAATTATTTTCTAACAAACAACCGAAAGTATAGAGTTAAATATTCTGATGTTTGTTAAATAAAAGATGTATTTATATTTATGTATATTTTTCTTATTGAAATAGATTACAGTTTATGAATCAAGTTTTGTAATAGTTGTTTATTTTACCCTAAGACACCCCTTTTAAAAAAATGTCTTTTATTAATATATTTTTAAGCGGTATACATGTTACCAAAGTTTCTTAAATGTTTATATTAATTTTCACATTAACCAGAGTAAGTGATGATTATTATCTCGTAGTGTGTCCAGTGCTCTGTGTAGCAGCGAAATAATTTTGAAATTCATGTAAAACACAACTTAAGCTTACAAAATAGCTTTGTTTCATTCACACACGCACACACAGTCACGCACACAGACAGACACACGCACAAACACCATGGAATTATACTTACACATAGCTGGTGAATTCAAATTTTAAAAAAATAACTTTCCGCGGATATGACCTTTTTCGGTAAACATAGTTGAGGTCTATATTTTAAAATTGAAATCTCTATTGGTGTGAAAAAAATAATCGTTTTTGTTATTTACCAACTAAAATTAGTATAAGTTGTATGTTCATATCCATTTTCGGTTAATTAAGAAAATTACACGTAGTAAAAAACAAAATATATGGCCTGATTCTTAACAAGAAAATGAAGTTTTCACAGGTCTCCTTTGTGCATATTTTTATATGTGTAGAAGTATACATGCTTGTTTTTAAAATCAGTTGCAATGCAAAAAAAAAAGTATAACAGAGTGTTATATTCAATAAAGATACTTAATCAACTGTTAATAGACTATAACTTATAATAAAAACACTTAAGTCATTGTGCATAATTCTTTTTTTCCTACCCAAAACATTAAGGAGACCAGTTTTGGTCTCCTTAATCTACTGGTCTCCTTAAGCAATATCTATATATGTTTCAGGTCTCCCGAATGAAGATGATATATATATATATATATATATATATATATATATATATATATATATATATATATATATATATATATTACGTCATAAAAGACATAAGACATAGTAAGATTTACCAACTATGTATAATCATTTTGACAAAAGTATATAATAGATAAACGTCTCCTTTATCGTTTTTATTTACACAATTTAGGAAGTAAGTTGGTGAAAACACTTTCTCCTGACACAAATACTTTTTTGTTCTTTGCGTAGTACCAAGTGATTGTAAAGAACTCCTTGATAAGGTTTCTGAGGCGAAAAGTGGACAATATGTGATAGAACTTTGGACATCTGGTAAGATTTTGACTGTGAATTGTGACATGGAAACAGATGGCGGTGGTTGGACGGTATGCAGATTCTTTCCTGGTTCACATACTCACATAATAAAATTGTTGAAATATATTTACTATGAAACATTTCCATTTTAACATTTATTTAAATCATGATGTGCTGTTCTTTTGTCCAGTACGAACAACCAGTCAAATGGTACCAAATAGATGTCAATATCAAATTTCATTTTACTCCAATTTTCAGGCAAACTGTATCTGTAAAATTGCACAGACTATATTTGTTTGTTTTAATTCCCGTATAAATACACTATCGACAGAGTATATTTTAGCCGATATTTCCAATAACGTATAAAACATTATTTTCATTCGCATTCAAATCTAGTCCGGTGTTGGGTAAATTATATTTTATCAGCTCATTGCGAAATAATCAAACTATGATTTCAACATCTACTGTAAAGCATGAAGTGATGTGTACATCCACGTTTTTGACGTTGGAGTCAATGAGTCAATTGTTATGGGGCAGGTAAAATGATTAGAAGTACAAAAGTTCCATTCCAAATAACAAATTAAAGAGTAAGCACTTTAGTCCTTTCTATGAAATGACCTGTAGGCCTTAGCTATATAAGACTTACGTTAAACAAATTGAATTTAATATTTAAAGCAATAATTATGTACATTATTCGTAAGCGCTCACGTTGTTTGCGTTTCTTCTAGATATTTCATAGGCGAATGGACGGGTCAGTGGACTTTTATCGCAAATTTACAGAATACGAGAATGGCTTTGGGAACGTTGATGGAGAGTTGTGGCTAGGTATGAAAAATATGTTATTCCTTGTAGCATTGGCATTTTAAAACAAATATAGTACAGTTATTGCGTAGTCACCTAAGGTAAAAAAAATCACCGCAATTAAAATAAAACACCTTTTGTTGCAAGCGTAACATAAAGGTAGATTTGTTAAACATGGAACAAATAATTTAATAAGCGGATACACTAAGAATATTTAGATAAGAAATTTCTTGTTGACCGTAATGCATTGCTTAAAGTTTATTGATATTATAGTAAGTTGTTTAAGTGTATTGATAAACATATTAAGTTGTTGAAATTTATTGATATTTCAAAACATAAGTTGTTGAAGTGTATTTATAAACATATTAAAATGTTGTATTGATAAGCATAAGTTGTTGAAGTATATTGATAAACATAAACTGTTGAAGTTTAACGCATAAGGCAACCCAACGGGTTTAAATGTCTTTAAATAGAATGCAATGCTATTATGATTATTACGGTTTGTAATTTTGTAGTATGAAGTGTTGAAGACTGAATTCTACTGAATATCTTGGTAAATTTCTAAATATTTATATTTACATTTGATATATTTTCGCAGGTTTACAGTATATACAAGAACTAGCTGAACAAGGTTCTACTGAGATTCGTCTTGACATGACAAGAAATGATAGTACAACAGGACATGAAACTTGTCCAGACTTTAAATTAACAGAAGGAACAAAATATAAACTAAACATTGGGCCATGCAAAGTTGCTGGCTTTCTAGGTAATTTATCCTGACAGATTTTGGCTTTTTTTCTATTATATCTTGTTCATTTCCTTTTTGTTACTTAGCTAAATGAAAGCACATCAGCTTTAAAACCAATAAAGGGAAGCGACTGACACCAGTTACTGTATGAGGCAAAAACAAATTCTTTTTTTTTTTCATAGACAAATTAGGACTCATAAACAGAATCTCTCACGACTTCTTGATTCGTCATGTTATGTAGATTATACAGTTATAAAGACACATTTTGCCTCAAAAATGTTTTTCAGTTTTGTTTCTCAAAAGCTTTAAATTTTTTGTTTCCAAAACACGAGTCATTGACTGACAACCTGAACCATCTGTTTCATCTGTCGGTTTTGACACTAAGTACAGATATGGTGGTTTATAATTTTGTATTGAATTTGTTTATATTTGTGTCTACGTCTATGACAAATAATTTCACATTTATCGGTACTTTCGTCAGGAAACAATCATCTAACATGTTTTGAAACCATTATTCTTTTCTAATTTATTGTTTCTGAGGTAAACTGTGACTTAAAACTATACATGTTAAAACAAATAAAAGAAGACATATTACAAAAACAAAGACAGATTTGATTCCTATCTTTATTATAGCAGAACCCATTCATGTCTGAAATTTTATTGTTGCTATATTATGCCTGATATAAAATATAAAATTTTGCTATAGTGAACTTTGAAATTGTCTTTTAGTGTTCGTTTATACATTATAGTATGATACTTTCAATGTATTTGTGAAGAAAGCAGTAAATGTGCATAACATGAAACGCTGACTTATTAACCTGGTCTCTGATGGAGCAAAGTTTCCAACTGATTGGTTTAGAAAATCAACAAGCTAAATTGAAAATATTTGTGGTTCTACTGCTCTGATATTGGACCTGCTTTGTCATAATGTAAATACGTATTATTATAATTGTATAACATCCGTGATGAACCGAATGAGGTGTTTTGTATGATTGTGGGGATTTATGAAATTTGGGCATGTCAACATGCAAACTGTCTTGATGCAATGTAACAATGACAGTGCCAGAACTAATTAATGATGTCTTTTTATTGCTATGCAGGAAAAGGATTTGCTTATTATTATCGAAATTCATTTTCAACTAATGACCGTGATCTCGACATGTCATCAGGAAGGAACTGCGCTGTAGAGTATCATGGAGCCTGGTGGTATCATGACGATTCTACTTGGGTCAACCTAAATGGATTGTATGTGGCACCAGGCACGGAATGTGAATTTCCCGGTGCCCGGGATCGTAATTGTGGACACTACCATTATTATTTTGATAAATATTATGCATTGAAATCGTCATCAATGATGATACGAAGGAAATAAAACAAGTAATCAAATAACAGCTCTTTAATTCGGAAAGTTCAGAATGATGTACTCAAAAGATTTTTTTTGTAATTATTAAGGTTTGTTTTTGCATCAGAAATGGTGTGAATTTTAGAAGTTTTATCTATGACTGTAGTCTTCTGTAAGACATTGAAATTGTCAGTTATCGAAATGGTGACATTATCGCATAACAGCATATTATCACGTACACGTCACCGTATAAAACTATGTGAAATCATAAAAAAATACGTGACATCATATAATCCGTTGAAATATTAGTATCACCAGACAATATTTAACCATTTGTCAGCACGTAAATACGTGACAATACAAAATGAAAAAAAAACCTTAATTTATTTTTTTAAATCTATTATTTTTGTTTGTTTAAATGTATATATGTCTTGTCCTGTTAGAATTAGTTTAAATCAAAATTATATCCGATGAAAATCTAAAGGCATTGTCATATTTTATATTCAACACCATTTTTTTGTGTTTTCTACACTAAATGTGTTTCCTTTTTAACAAAAATTAAGCTATTTTACGAGTAAAGAAGCTTTAAAAAAAAAAACAAAAAAAAAAAAAATTAAAAAATTAAAAAATAAATAAGTAGCCAAAAAAAAAAATAACAACAACAAAAACACATGTATTTGTATAAATCAAACGTTGAACTCAATAAATTCTTATAGGGTTAGTGTTTTCATCCTTATAAACCGATTATGTTAATTATTACAAGCGCAAAAATATACATAAAGCGCCAAGTATCTAAACTGCATGTGTCGCGATTATATTCTGAATAAAGTTCAAACAACGTAATATATAATTCCCTTCTATAGTGGATATAAATTAACTGATCAACTGGGCAAAACCCTATCATACATGTAGTTTCATAGCCTACGGACCATAATAAAATATAGTGTCGGAGGTTAGAAAAGATGTTAGATAGCCTCAGGGATTTACTCTTGGATCTGATATTATCCCTAAAAGTTGCCCCCCTCCCCCAGTCCCTGTTACATCCCCCAAAATATAATTAAAAGTCAATTTCTACATTTAGTATTCATTACAACAATAATTTTAGATAATTTTCATTATACCTCTATAGTATTAGTTATACAAGAGTAGCGGTATGAAAATGGAAGTGGGAACTTAAGAGATGTTTTGAAAAAAAATGGGGAAAAATGCATGATTTTTGCAGTGATTAAAGGAATGCAAACAATCACTGTCTCGGATGGTATCTTTAAACATTTAATCACCGTAGCATTGAAGAGCCCATTATTTTTTTGAAGATTTGAGAATTACGTATTAAATAGTTATATATTGAAACTTTCGATGGGAATTCTTTCTTGTAGATGAGGAAAATAATATACTTTAATCAAATGGGAATATGACCGAATATCGGCTATAAAATATACCAAAAGGAAATCCCTGAATATCAGAGCATACGTCTTATCCTTGTGAGGGAGACCTGAAATGCAGAAAAAGTTAGTTTATCTATATTTAACTGGCATTAGATATTTGACAAAAGTAGTCCAATCACTGATACAAGCAGTTTTGATATCATGCATTATTATTCACCAGTCCATTACACGTATCTTGTTTAATGTTTTCACATATTTTTTTTGTATTTTGTATGGTTATATTGATTATATTTTATATATATTTTCAGCGTTTATGATACATTGTATGTATACCAGTTGTATATTGTATGGTTCTACGTTAATCGCCTAGACCAACATATACTTTCATAGTGAATGGTTGTTTTGTAAAAATTGTAAAACAATTGTGTTATTTTCTACATCAAATGTGCTAACAAATATATAATTTCATCGTTCATCATGTATAATTACTGTGTAAAAATGTAAAACAAATGTTAACAATGTAACTATATTTTATGCTTCTACATTAAATGCCTAGACAAATACATACTTTTATCGTGAATAATTGTTATAGTGAAAATGTGAAACAATTGCATATCAATATATGCTTTTGAATTTATGCATAGAAAAATATATACTTTCATAGTATGTGAGACTTGTAAAGCAGTTGTATTTTGTATGGTTCTGACAAATATATACTTTCGTCGTTCATGTTGTACAATAACTGTGTGAAAACTGTAAATCAATTGTGTATTGTATGCTTCTTCATTAAACACCTAAAAAATCTTAGACAAATGGACATTTATCATAAAGGGAAGGCATAATATGTAACATAACATATAAACAATAACGTATAACATAATATATAAACAATAACCAAACTGATTAAGCAAACATTTATTTATTTTCATATTTTTATCAATTCCTAATTGGAAAGTTAAAGCTGCAGATGTAACAGTACAAAATGTTAAAATGTTCATAAATTATACGTGTTGTTCTTGTAAACACAATCATCGGAAATTCTACACAATATATTAACTAAAAAAATTCAACTAGAATCTACACACAAGATACATGTATATATGAGAACTTTCTAAAGAAATATAAATACAATGTAACAACATTAATTGCACTTTATAAGTAGATTCAACACACTATAACAATAGTTTAATAAATTTGTAAAACTAGACTTTCTAAATTATAATGCACAAACAACAGTACACATTATAAGTACTAAGACATTATCTACAAATATCATAGAAAAGTTGTGATCCACACAAATCCAGGAGTTTAATAATTATCAGTTTATAGTTTATACTCCATATATTCACTGTAAAAGAAAAGTTAAAAATTATGTGATTACATCTCCTATGAATTTTATTAATACTTATGTCTGCTCTTGTAACAAATACATCATAGCAGATAAATTATGTATGTTAATATATATACCTGATAATAGTCAAGATGTATGTTTATAGCAGGAAATGTATGAATATTTTCCAAAAAATAATGTTGCTTATTTTACTTCAAATTGGTGGGGATAAACATGTGCAAAATTATTTTAGGCACACAAATTGTCCACAGTCCTCCTATATGTTGGCTTACTTCATCTTAATCAACTTTTTTTAGATGACAAAGATGTCATAATTAACTAAAATTATCCAAACATATACAGGAGCAGGTGCCCATGTCAAAAATTTTGCTGTCAATGAGAAATGGCCATATTTCATAGCAATGATGACGAAAAAAAATAGTCAGAAACTAGAACTATCACTAAATGTGATTAATACCCCCACAAGACTGCTTCAGAAATGAGGATGTTACTAGTAACAGAATACCTTGTAAAAGAACTGAAATATAGAGTTATGGTTGTGGGCAATTAAAGATAGTTGTGGTTCTTGTATGTTGCATTTCCTTTCAATGTGGTTGGCCATTGATGATCTTTTATTGAATAACTCTGTAATAAGTCCAGAAAGACAAAGAAAAGGAACAAAGGGCAATAACTCTATAAATACTGAAGATGGAGTTATAGTTCTTGTGCACTGCACTTCCTCTTATTGTGCTTGACCATTGTATGAAGTTGTTCTGAATTCCAACCAGTACGTTTTAAAATATGCTCCGGACAAGGAAAAGAATCAAAGGGTAGTAACTCTGTATTTTGTCAAAATGGAGTTATGGCTCTTGTGCACTGCACTTCCTTTTAATGTCCTTGACAACTGTATGAAGTTGTATTGAATTCCAAACAGTAGTTTTCAAGTTATACTCCGGACAAGGAAAAGTAACAAAGTGCAATAACTCTGTAATTAGTCAAGATGGAGTTATGGTTCTTGTGCACTGCACTTTCTCTCAATGTGCTTGACTATTGTATGAAGTTATGTTGAATTCCAATCATTAGTCTTCAAGTTCTGCTCCGGACAAAAAAAGCAATGGAAAAGTAACAAAGGGCAATAACTCTGTAATTAGTCCAGATGGAGTTATGGTTCTTGTGCACTGCACTTCCCCTTATTGTGCTCGACCATTGTATGAAGTTGTTTTGAATTCCAACCAGTAGTTTTCAAGTCATGCTCTGGACAAGGAAATGTAACAAAGGGCAGTAACTCTGTAATAAGTCAAGATGGAGTTATGGTTCTTGTGCACTTCACTTCCTCAATGTGCTTGACCATTGTATGAAGTTATAATGAATTCCAACAATTAGTCTTCAAGTTATGGTCTGTACAAAAGAAAGCAATGGAAAAGTAACAAAGGGCAATAACTCTGTAATTACTTTAAATTGAGTTATGGTTCTTGTGCACTGCACTTCCCCTTATTGTGCTTGACAATTGTATGAAGTTGTTTTGAATTCCAACCAGTAGTTTTCAAGTTATGCCTTGGACAAGGAAAAGTAACAAAGGGCAATAACTCTGAAATTAGTCAAGATAGAGTTATGGTTCTTGTGCAATGCACTTCCTCTCAATGTGCTTGACCACCGGGTGACTCCTATATACCCCCCAAACTTCGTTTTTGGGGGTATAAAAATAATGCAATGGGCATATTATAAACAAAACACACCATTACTGTACTGAACAAGAAAATCATTTACACAGGTATGGGAGTGCTTTATAGATGCATTAATGATATATTATTAGTTATAAAGCTTGTTGACAGGTAATATATGGCCCTATAAAAACGGCTATTTGTAAATATAACCAGAGCCGCTAGGCGAGGATTATATTGCAAATAGCCATTTATATACGGCCATATAACCTGTCAACAATCTTTACAACGAGTTTATAATAAAGCACGCATCATTTTTTTTTGTGAAAAAGTAAGATTTCTTCATAAATCGACAGCAGACGTGTATATAAAACTATATAAATGTCACGATTATCCAATGAAAAGTTACAAACGTGCAGTATTATAAAAGTATATCAGTACAGTTATTTCTTGATAATTATGCTTTGTACTAAATCAATAACATCTCTACATTAAACCAGGTCACACTTGTATAAAATACAATTTTTTTTTCAATAAAGTTTTACTTGAAATATGAAATACAAGAAACAGAACATATTCCAGGTGCATGACTATCAAACATTACAAAAAGAGATAAACATACATGCAATGTAGACCAAATTAAAAAGCCCTGCCTATAAATTTAGATTTGAAAAGGCAGAGTGACAACAATATTAACATTATGTGACACATCAAATCTTTTCATAAATAAATAGATAACTACTGATTTTAAGTATACACTTTCAGATTAATTTTTCATGAGGGCTTTGTCAGCACAACTGAATTGACAAAACATTTTTAAGGTGAAGATCTTACAAAAGAAAAGCCAAAATTTACTAATATTACACAAGAAAAGGCAACATTCACTGATCTTAGTACAAAGGGCAAAATTTATTGATCTCACACAAGGAAAGGCAAAATTTACGAATCTATTAAATAAAAAGACAAATTTTACTGAGCTTACACAAGAAACAGTGTCTATTCTAGAAATTCAAAAATAGGGGTGATTTTTCCCCATAAATTTCAAAAGAGGGGGGTGATTTTCAAAATCAAGGGGTGCCAATATAAACTGCCAATGTTAAATCGTCTGCATTAAGTTTACACCGAGGCATTCAACCGATGAAATAATTAAAACAAAAATATTCATTTAAGGCAGCAGAAGTTGTCCCCCTTTATTTTTAAATGAAAACAAATTATAGAACTGTCGCGATTGATTATAAAAGGATTGACAATACAAACAATCAACCTACCTTTCACATCTAGATTGTAGCCAAGCTAGGAATTGCCTATTTTTTCTTGATTATTTACTACACTAAAATGGCGCCCAACTGTCATACCTAGGACACTAGTTTCGGTCGGTATGGAACATTCCGTTAATTTCCGTCAACACTGTAACCAGTACCATACGGTTCTGAATTATTATAATTAGCTTACAGTTACCTCCTATCGGGTTTCCAGTGTAAATGTAAACAAAACAACCAAATATAATGTGGGATGGAAGTTTTACGTTTTTATTAACTTTTTTCTATAGATGCGCGATTCTCACGCACATGATTTTGAATTGTGCGAGATCTGTGAAATACTAGCGTGAATCGTGCAATCGCGCGTCCTAGAATAGACACAGAAGAAAATGTAAAAATTTCTGATCTTACACAAGAAAAGGCAAATTTTACTGATCTTAGACAAGAAAAGGCAAAATTCACTAATTTTACACAAGAAAAGACAAAATTCACTAATCTTACTCAAGTAAAGGCAAAATTTGCTTATCTAACACAAAAAATTTACTAATTCTACACAAGAGATAATGAAATTTCCTCCAGCTTATCATGACCATAAACGGATAATATAATCACATTACTATATGAACATTTTGTTCTGACACTTCTACATGTGTAGGTTAGGAAGCAACCAGTGTTATCCAGTGTAGTATAATTCTTTACAGCCAAATGCAAGTGCTAGTGCAAATGAGCTATGAAACTTTTATGCTTTATTCCTTTCTCTAACTCTTTTTGTCAAGTACCAGATGTATATACACTATATCATCTAAATGCCAAAAAGATCAGTATACCTGTTTACTGGAATAGGAAATGATTTACTGATTTCAATGAAATTTTTTCTTAATATTTAGCACCAATCTTGTATATACTGCATTAATGTCAACAATATCGTATCAAGTTCATAAGAAATATGAATTTTTTCTCTTGGGTAATATTAGCCCATGAATTGCATCTAGTGTATACAACAGAATACCTATACTTATTTGATAAAAAGAGGATATTGAATAATCAGTAAGTGTGAATTCGGAAAAAAATCCTATGAACAAGTTATATTTATAAAGTATTGACGGAGATTTTTGCAAGCTTCAAAGAGATTAATTTAGCTCATTCAGTATATTCAGAATAGAATTTACATCATACATGTAAACAATCTTGACATTATATTTACCATATACCATGAAAATTTAAACAAGAGGGCTATGATGGCCCTGAAGTCGCTCACCTGTATATAAGCCCCCGGAGTGGGGCCAGTTTAAACCCCAGGGCTTTTATTTGAACAAACTTGGTAGACACCCATTAGAAGATGTTTCATGCTAAACATCTAAGGTCTAGCTTGTTGGGTTTTTTAAAAGAAGAAGATTTTTTTAAGTTTTTTCTTTACACATATATTTAAAAACAATGACACCCCTGGGGCAGGGCCAGTTTTGACCCCAGGGCTTTTATTTGAACAATCTTTGTAGACACTTACTAGAAGATGTTTCATGCTTAATATCTAAACTCTAGCTATTCGGGTTTTTTCGAAGAAGATTTTTAAGTTTTTGCTATACACATATAAGGAAAATCAATGTCCCCCAGGGCGGGACCAATTTTGACCCCAGGGCTCTTATTTGAACAAACTTGGTAGACATCCATTAGAACATGTTTCATGCTTAATATCTTAGCTCTAGCTCTTTGGGTTCTTTAAAAGAAGATTTTTAAGTTTTTACTATATGCATATAGGAAAAATCAATGACCCCCTGGGGCGGGGCCAATTTTGACCCCAGGGCTTTTATTTGAACAAACTTGGAAGACACCCATTAAAGATGTTTCATCTTAAATATCATAGCTCTAGCTCTTTTGGTTCTTTAAAAGAAGATTTTTTTAATTTTTACTATATACATATACGAAAAATCAATGACCCCCTGGGGCAGGCCAATTTTGACCCCAGGGTTTTTATTTGAACAAACTTGGTAGACACTCACTAGAAGATGTTTCATGCCAAATATCTTAGATCTAGCTCTTTGGGTTATTTAGAAGAAGATAATTAAAAAAAATTCTTTTGGTTGCCATGGCAACCAGAGTTCTACATGGAATTAAATTCTTTGAACAATTTTCAAAGGTGACCACCAAAGGAACATTCCTGTGAAGTTTGGTTGAAATTGGCTTAGTGGTTTATGAGGAGATGTCATTTAAAGTAAAAGTTTACGGACGCCGGACGGACGCCGGACGAAAAGCTATCACAAAAGCTCACCCTGTCACAAAGTGACAGGTGAGCTAAAAAACAAAACAAAAAAAAACAATGAAAAGAAAACAATTGATTAAACCACACTACAATTAACAAAAGTAACGTTTGCATAATTAAGCTCATGTGCATCTCATATACAAGGCTGTGTCATATAGCTTTAACTGTGTCACAAAAGAGACACATGAATGTGATACATTTCATAAAAGATATACAGCATCTTAATAAATAAAAGGGACATAGCACTCCAATATACAAAGGCAGTGTAATAACAAAATTTTTTAATTGTCTCTTTTTTTCCAGGCATAAAATTATGCAGGTGGAAAAGTACATTAAGCAGGTGTTGCATAGACTAAATCTTATTGAAAACTGTCTTTTTTATCTACAAAAATAAATAAATATTACAAAAAAAAATCTGCTCAGCAAAAATATATGATTATCTTTATTTCTTCATAGCCTGATTAAAACATGATTTATCTACAAGTTGCTTGATTCCTGAGTTTGGACATTTTTATAACATTAATATTAATATTAACCCTTTCACTGCCATAGGGACGGCTTAAGCCGTCCCTGTTATTTTCGGCGTATTTGCCATATGGACGGCTATAGCCGTTTCTATAATAATCATAATAATAATAATAAATTAATAATACTAATCAAAATAATAATAGATATAAAGAAAATTATACCATCGGCAATAATTATTATTATACTAGCATATTTGGAAACATATATAATTATTATAATACTAATAACAAATAATAATAATAATTATATTAATTAATAATATAGTAATTTTTTAGAAAACCCTCTGGCAAAAAGATGATCAATAAAACAATAACCCTCTGGCAGCGAAAGGGTTAAAAGGCACATTATACCTCAGAAATCCATATCTTTTCAATTCGTTAGAAATGTCTATCATTTGTGTAAAAATGTTTTGATACTGAATTTAGAGCCGATTCGATGTTAAACAACTGAAAGAGTAGGGCTGACTGTGTCATCAAGGTAGCTAAATGTAAACAAAGTAGCATGATGCCATACAAAATACTAATTCACTATAATTATATTAATTGACAACAGAGCAAAAGTAGAAAAAAAGGTTCATGTATGTGGCAAGTTTTTGAGAAATAAAATTGATAGCATTTCTGTGGCATAATGGGCCTTTAACTACTTTCAAAGACATTCCCAATCATACTATAATTATAATCTTATCAAGATTGCTGCAGAAAAATAGTGTGTGCATACAATAAAGCCCTACTGTGTGTGATAAGCTGTGCAAACTTCACAAAGAACAAAAATTCACACAAATGTTCTTTTTTTTTGTACAGATGAACTACATGTACCATTGCTTTTAGTAGAATATTGACAGTGTTTGATACAGATTATCCAGTATATAAATAAGATTTGGCTTAAAATATTTTACAACTTACACAGTTCTTTTAAAGTTTCTAAAGATAAAATGTCATATTTAAAATACTTTCCCTGCCAAGTTTTTATCAGTATACATGTACTTAAATAATCATAGTTCAGAGAAAAAGATGATATTCATAATTCAGGAGGTTTCTTTTAATGTCTACAATTTAACTCTATAGCGGTTAATTAAATCATCTCTTACATGCACACCATGAGACGTAAATTGAGGCACTGTGACAGATCTTTGAATTATTTGTAATTTCCTAACTGATTATGCAAATTGTTTTTGACCTGTCACATCTGATAATTTGTTATTCTCACAGTCAGCACTTTTTCTTGAATCATATTGCACAGTTCTCTCGCTGTCTTTATTTTCACTTTCTGTCTTTGAAACACTAGGTAAAGTGTCATCATTAGGTACACAGTCAGATTTTGTATCAGGTTTAGTTCTTTCCTTGTAAGCTTTATGTGGGAGGGAATATAATTGTTGATTTCTAGTCTCTCCAGTCATTAGAAAATGGTTGTAGCATTTTAACAAGGCACTGCATTCCTTCTCATCATCAAAAGCATTGTCTGGATATTTATTTTTGAATTTTCGTCGTGCCTGAAAACCATGTTACTTATATAGAAAATCATGACTCATATACATAAATTAGAGATTTATATGTACAAATGTACCTATTGGCTTTTCAAAAAAAAAAAAAAACAACAACAAGAGGGCCATGATGGCACTGAAGTCGCTCACCTGTATATAGCACTCCTCCCCCCCCCCCCCCCCCCCCGGCAAGGGCCGATTTTAACCCAAGGGCTTTTATTTCAACAAACTTAGCTCATTGGGTTTCTTAAAAGAAGATTTTTAAGTCTTTACTATACACATATAGTTAATAAATGACACCCCTGGGGCGGGGCCAGTTTTGACCCCAGGGCTTTTATTTGAACAAACTTTATAGACACTTACTAGAAGAAGTTTCATGCTTAATATCTAAACTCTAGCTATTTGGGTTTTTTCAAAGAAGATTTTTAAGTTTTTGCTATACACATATAAGGAAAATCAATGACCCCCAGGGCGGGGCCAATTCTGACCCCAGGGCTCTTATTTGAACATACTTGGTAGACACCCATTAGAACATGTTCAATGCTAAATATCTTAGCTCTAGCTCTTTGAGTTCTTTAAAAGAATATTTTTTTAAGTTTTTACTATATGCATATAAGGAAAATCAATGATCCCCTGGGGCGGGGCCAATTTTGACCCCGGGGCTTTTATTTGAACAAACTTGGTAGACACTCATTAGAAGATGTTTCATGCTAAATATCTTAGCTCTAGCTCTATGGGTTCTTTAAAAGAAGATTTTTAAAGTTTTTACTATAATATATGCATATAGGGAAAATCAATGACCCCCTGGGGCGGGGCCAATTTTGACCCCAGGGCTTTTATTTGAACAAACTTGGTAGACACTCACTAGAAGATGTTTCATGCCAAATATCTAAGCTCTAGCTCATTGGGTTTCTTAAAAGAAGAAGATTTTTTAAGTTTTTACTATACACATATAGTTAATAAATGACACCCCTGGGGCGGGGCCAGTTTTGACCCCAGGGCTTTTATTTGAACAAACTTTGTAGACACTTATTAGAAGATGTTTCATGCTTAATATCTAAACTCTAGCTATTTGGGTTTTTTCAAAGAAGATTTTTAAGTTTTTGCTATACACATTTTAGGAAAATCAATGACCCCCGGGGCGGGGCCAATTTTGACCCCAGGGCTTTTATTTGAACACACTTGGTAGACACCCATTAGAACATGTTTCATGCTAAATATCTTAGCTCTAGCTCTTTAAGTTCTTTAAAAGAAGATTTTTTATGTTTTTACTATATGCATATAGGGAAAATCAATGACCCCCTGGGGCGGGGCCAATTTTGACCTCATGGCTTTTATTTGAACAAACTTGGTAGACACTCATTAGAAGATGTTTCATGCTACATATCTTAGCTCTAGCTCTTTGAGTTTTTTAAAAGAAGATTTTTTAAGTTTTTACTATATGCATATAGGGAAAATCAATGACCCCCTGGGGCGGGGTCAATTTTGACCCCAGGGCTTTTATTTGAACAAACTTGATAGACACTCACTAGAAGATGTTTCATGCCAAATATCTAAGCTCTAGCTCTTACGGTTTTTTAAAAGAAGATATTTTAAGTTTTTTCTTTCGGTTGCCATGGCAACCAGAGTTCTGCATGGAATTAAATTCTTTGAACAATTTTTAAAGGTGACCATGAAGATGCATGACTAACATATTTTTTTTCAGACACCTCTTTGCAATCAAACAATAAAGCTGGTATAAAGTTTAGTTACAAAATATAAAGTTAAAATGTTATTTCTGAAAGCATTTAAAGCAATTTAATTTTTTTAAACTAAGTTTCAACTAACAGACAAGATATAATCAGTATATTATAAGAATTTTTCTTGTAAAACTTACTTCTTCAAGGCCCTCATTTTCCCAGTCTTGTAACTGTTTCTGAAATCCAAAGTTAGGATTAGCACAATTTCTTGCACCTCGTATAGAGTTTAAGGCATCCCTCCAACCAAGTTTCGTCACCGTCATAATATATGCAAGCTGTAATAGTTACACTTCGGGACACTCCTGCCAAACTGAAAAATGAAGAATTTATCTTACCATCTTTTTGGTTAGGTTTTAAGTCATACATACACAGTAAGGGTCATATGATGACATTCCAGCTTTACTGGAGGAAGAAGACCTCAGGGGCATGTCCATGCTTCCTCACATGAAAGAATTCAAAGTCCCTGATGGGTTTTTTTTGGTTGGGTTTTACCTCATATCAAAACAGTAAAAGTCACTTGACAACTGTCAAGCTTTATTGGTGGAGAAAAACCTCAGGTGCCCCTTTCTTGCATTATTTTTGGCACTAACGCCGCACCTGAGTAGAACCACTGACGTTCAAGTCAATTACCATAACCATTCAACCACTTGATGCTTAAATGAATGGTACAAGAAACAGGGAAAAATCACAAAAAAACATGAAACCATTGAAAAATGGGTTTCCATTCTATGTTAAATTTGGTTAAAAAAATTTAAAAAACAAAGTACTAAAATTATTTCCCTTTCTTGATCAGGGTTACATTTAATGAACTACATAGAAAACAAATAACAAGTACTGTAGTTTAGAAGTAATTTTTGGGGACACCTCAAAAAAACAAAATTTTAAGAAATGTTTAAAAAAAACCCTTTATCTAAAAACATATTTGGTAAAAAAATTTAAGTTAAAAAAGGTTTTTAAAATTTTAGAGAAAAATTTTAACCAAATTTACGTCCCGTGTATAGAATCGTCCCCCTTTAGACGTGCATCAGTATAAAAACTTAAAAATTTTTCAAAAAACTGTTAAGACTGACCAGAATTGCACTTTTTTCAAATTTTCTAAATTTCTTTCCGAAAAATAGAAAACTTTTTAAATTTTAAAATTATCAGACATTAAAATTAGAAATCTTTACAAACATGTAAAAAATTCAACACAAATTATTCCTACATTTGGGTTAGACCACCCAAATATCCCCTTTTTCACAAAAATTTTTTTTCAAAGTGGGGGACTGCCTAAAAATACTCTTGTTTGAAACAAATTTTGCTACATTAAAAAAAAATCGTTTTTTTTAAAAAAAAAAAGGTTGAAGTAAATGGCCTCAACCATCGGGGCCCTGGGCCCTTTTAAACAAAGATGCTGCACATAATAATAGTGACTAAAAAGCCAAAATAAGAATATAAGACAGACCATTTGTGGCCAAATAAACATTTACAAACATAAGGGTTTTCCTCCACTAATTAATTTAAGATTTCCACTTGCCCTGTTGGATAAGTTCTTTTTGGAATCACTTGCCCAGACCAATTTTTTATTTTAAACAGCGCAAGACAACCTGTGCCCCCCCTTTTAATATAACATAAATACCTTTGACCCGTTTTTTTAATATCAAAAAAAAACAGAACTTATGTATTTTTTTGTGACATTAATTCAAAGCCTAAATGCAAAGCTTCTTTGAATTATATAATCAAAAGGGAAAAACAAAAAGTCATGGCTTTAAAACAAAATTTGGTAAAGATTTTCATGTTTTTTGAAATTTTTTTTTTTTTTTTTTTTTGTTCTTTTTTTCTTTTTTGGTTAAAAATTTAAAAAAATTTTTTTCAATTTAATGTTTTTTTTTTAATTTTGGTCAAAAGAAAACTGAAAACTTTTTAAATAAAATTTAGGAATATTAATTTTAAAAACAAAAATAAAACTCAACCTTACTTCCATTCCCCCTGGCAACGTTTTTTTTGGTTTTTTTAAAGCACCTTTTAAAAACTTTTTTAAAAAAAAATAAAATTGTTTTTTTTTTGTTAATTACTAATAAAAACTTTTTATCTATCTACTCTTTTATTTTTGTAATAAAAAAATTTTTAAAAAACATTTAAAAAAGATAATGTAATTTAAAAAAATTTAAAAACAAGGGGCCAGATGGCCCTGACGTACCAGAACAAATGTTGTATGTTTTTTTAAAAA